ACCGTGATTGTAAATGTGTTGCCTACCATAAAATTGTGAGCCTAAGTTACCTCATTCAGCAGACCTCCGTGAGACCTTGCTAGTTCACCGGACAATTCTTGTCATTTGTCTCCACAGCACCATAAGCTATGGAGTGGCCCTACGACAGTTGAATGTCAGACTTTGGCAAAAATTATAATTATGAGTAAAAATAGTATAATGCTCCTTTAATTCCTTGCCTTTCCGTCCGAATATAACGTGAGTGTTTTCAAGGGAAGAGTGGACAGGTGTTTACTGAGCTAGTATTACGTGTGGGATAGCAGTCGAGCATCAGGCAGTCCCTTATAAATAAAAAAAAATACTGTTACTACATGCACGATACTTGTGCGATGTTTAAGCTAGCCCCAAACATTAGCCGTACGGCGCTGTTTTGCCGAGAGTAACAATCAAATGCTTTTTACGGTCCTAGGTACAGTTGGGCCTTTTTGCGATAATCGTTTTCAGATATTTGAAGTAGGGCGGAAAGATTTCTCAATCTCACGTACTCTCGTAAGTTCAGTTAATATTATAGTACCCGGAGAACCGAGCTTTGCTCGGTTTGTTTTTTTTTTTTTTTTTTGTAAATCGTGTATTTTGGATTACATTTAGATACAAATTACTGAGTAATGAAATATGCATAATGTTTTTCGATCTTACCGACGTAATAATAAGAAAATATGAACTGATGTTTTTCACAAAAGAAAGAACTTTAAAAAAAGGGAAAAAAATAACAAAGTAACAAATCGACAAAAAATTTAAAATAAAGAAAGCAATGATCTGGAATCGAAAAAAAAGTAAAACAATAAATGTGTAAATGATCGTGACGCGAACCACGGCCGTCTGTTTTGGGGCCGCCCGATTACCAACCGAGCTATTATGACATTTTCTCTTGCGGTGAAATTATTTTAATTAATTTACCGTCATATTCGAATTATTTTTTTCATTCCCTGAAAACAGGGATAAAACGACATTTTCTAAAAATGAAACCTAGTCAGATCGATTTTTCGCCCCCGAATCTACGCACATACTAAATTTCATGAAAATCGCTGGAGCCGTTTCCGAGATTCCGATTATATATATATATATATATATATATATATATATACAAGAATTGCTCGTTTAAAGGATAAGATTAATCATAGACTTGCATATGATGACGTTACGTTGGAGCAGATTTGTTTTTTTCGTTCCGTCGATTCACGATTTAGAATAGGAAATATTAAAATGGGTGCAAATATAATACGTAAGAGGGAGGTGGAAAAAAAGAGATCGTGTTTATTACTTAACCGAACTCCGTTTAAATATTATGTTTTCACAGTAGTTTATTTATGTCGTTGAAAATTTCTATGGTTTTAATAACTTTCATAATTCATGTTAATTATGCAAAATGCAAAAATCACGTTAAATTAATCATGATTAAAGAAAACCACATAACTTTTTATAGGTAGCATGAGCTACATCAGTCCGATAGGAATGTCTTCATATTTGTCTCAAGTGAAGACGATGTCATGACTACTATATTAATGCAAATAATCGCAGAATAAAATTCTGGGTATTACCAGCACGATACCATATTTCGCAGGAACCCCGTCGCTTATCACTTATCAGTTTACGCCATACAATAAAGTGTCTGGATTGACTTTATTTTGTGTGTTTTTGCAATATTTCCATTTTTAAAGCAATAGATTTCTCTTTCATTTGTTATATTTACAAATTATACAAATATATTTACAAGTTTTTATAATAAGGATTTTATTGTACCAATTTTTATTTTGATATCTTCTGAAAGAAGTCGTAGAATCCGTCGAAAATTACGAATGCTTACTTTTCCTGGTTTATGGTTCTCGGTTCTAAGTGAAGCTTCATAAGACTTTGTATCTTGAAACATAAGAGTCAAACTATTCGGTATTCCTTGATGAAATCTAGATATATTACCTAAAGTCCGCTTGATTTTGATGATTACATATGTCACCGAGTTTTTGTATTTTAATTCTAGCTCCAACAGTCGTTTATTGTCTCATCAGTAAATGGGAACGGTGAGTACCATCTTCGTTCGAATTCTGGTGTACGTAGAGTACACGATGCATTTTTTTAAGCGAGAAAGTGGCAAACGAGCTGGCGGTTCATCTGATTAAGTGATAACCGCCACGCATGAACATTTGCAACACCCGTAGGGTTGCAAATGCGTCGGCCCACGGCCCGGCTACCTCACTCATGAAACGAAACGCTGTGAGGTCGTGGTATTTACCCGGACGGACCTGCCCATTCGTGCAACAGTGAACACTGTAAAAGACCCAACACACAGTTTCCCCCTTGCTTAGGCGTAGGCTTGCGTAGGCTTGCTTTCCAAGCGAACCTAGAGAGGGGCGTTGCAGACCTCTCCTGCTTAAAATTAGGCGGACCCGTGCGACAGTTAAAACACACGATTTTCTTTAAATATTTAGGAAACATTTTTTTAAATTATATTTACACACCATTATCTAGTCCCAAACTAAGTAGTATAGGTACTAGATAACCGATAAACATACTTAAACATACTTTTAAAAAAATAATTATCTAATTATTACCATTCCAATCGATCTATTAAATCCACTGCAGGACATGGGCCACCCCACAGACTGCCACGAAGCATGATCCTGAAGCGACTCACTGAATCTGCCATTAAAATAATCTGACGTTTTCTTCTGTCATAGGATGTTTTCGCGTCTAGCCCCGCAGACCGTATTAAACATAAGTACCCGGAGGACCGAGCTTTGCTCGGTTTGTTTTTTTTTTTGGTAAATCGTGTATTTATGAAATTACATTTAGATACAAATTACTGAGTAATGAAATATACATAATATTTTTCCATCTTACTGACGTAATAATAAGAAAATATGAACTGGTGTAATTCACAAAAGAAAGTACTTTAAAAAGAAGGGAAAAAAGAACAAAATCATCTGGATCGACAAAAAAATAAAAAATAAAGAAAGCAATGATCTGGAAGCCAAAAAAAGTATGTAAATGATCGTGAACCACGGCCTTGTTTCGGGGCCGCCCGATTACCGACGGAGCTGTTATAACATTTTTTTTTTGGTGAAATTTACTGTCGTATTCGAGTGATATTTTTCATTCCTTGAAAAATGGGATAAAACGACATTTTATAAAAATGAAACCTAGCCAGATCGATTTTTCGCCCCCGAATCTACGCACATACTAAATTTCATGAAAATCGCTGGAGCCGTTTCCGAGATTCCGATTATATATATACGTAGGCGGGATGATAAGTAACTAGCCATTGCTATTTAAAAAGTTAAAATAAAAAAAATATATATGTCATTTTTAAATTCGTATCTCTGGCCACCTGTGTTCTAAATTTGAATTAGGTGGCGTGAAAATTTTATTGTTTTTTTTGTCATTTGAAAATATATTTCGTCAACTATTTTCAAAATGGATAAAATTGAACAAAGAGCGGTGATAAAGTTTCTTCATATGAAGGGGATGAAGGCGAAAGATATCTATGACGAGTTAAAGAATGTTTTGGGTGAATATGCTCTTTCTTATGCCACAGTAAAAAACTGGGTGGCTGAGTTTAAACGCGGTCGTACATGTGTCCAAGATGAAGCCCGCCCCGGACGTCCAAAAAGCGTTACGACTCCGGAAATGGTCGTGAAAGTACATGATATGGTTTTAGCAGATCGATGATTGAAGTTATCTGAAATAGCTGACACTACAGGTATCTCAAAAGAACGGGTACATCATATCCTAAGTGAGGAATTAAATATGAAAAAGTTATCGGCCCGTTGGGTGCCGCGATTGCTTACGCACGATCAAAAAAGGATTCGGGTGCAAAACTCAAAAGAATGTCTGGACCGTTTTCAGAGTAATAAGGCCGATTTTTTACGTCGATTTGTAACAACAGATGAAACATGGGTTCATCATTACACGCCAGAATCAAAAATTCAATCAAAACAATGGACTCAATCGGGATGCCCGGCTCCAAAAAAGCCATGGCTGTAAAGTCGGCTGGAAAAGTGATGGCTTCCGTCTTTTGGGATGCAGATGGGATTTTGATGATAGATTACCTTACTAAAGGTCAAACAATTAATGGTGAATACTACGCTAATCTTCTTGATAAGCTTCATCAATGTATTCAGCAAAAACGACCAGGTTTGGTGAAAAAAAAAAAAACATCTTCCACCAAGACAACGCTAGGGTTCACACATGTGTTAAAGCTATGGCAAAAATCAACGAATTGAAGTATGATTTGCTGCCTCACCCACCTTATTCGCCTGATCTAGCGCCATCAGACTTCCACTTATTCCCTAAGCTCAAAACTTTTTTGGGAGGGCAGAAATTTGCCACAAATGATGAAGTCATAGCCGCCGTAGAGGAGTATTTTGCAGGCCTCGAAAGAAATCATTTTCTGGAAGGCATTACTGCTTTAGAACGAAGATGGAATAAGTGTGAAGCGGTTCACGGAGAGTATGTCGAAAAATAAAATTAATTTTATCACGGAAAGTTAAGTGTTTTCTTATTAGGCTAGTTACTTATCATCCCGCCCTCGTATATACAAGAATTGCTCGTTTAAAGGATAAGAGATATCATAAGATTCACTAAAAGTAAAAGAACCACACGCATCCATCGAATTCCCACACATTTGTACGGGTCGTTATTCATTAATTTAATGTAAATTTAAGTCGAATAACAAATATTATAAAATATATTATTTTTTGGCGGTAGGTGGAAATAAAGTTGACACGTAGTTTCGTTTGCTTAGATTTTATTTTTCAAATAAAAGTTAATATTGCCGTAATTTTTCAGTATAATCTAATAATTTTACGTTATTACAATTGTGTTAATGTGAATTGATACAATTAATTTCATTGCCACCTGCCAGCTTATCACACGAACGTCAAAGGGCTTCTAAAAATTACGTCATGTCTCAACTCAATGAAATTAAAACCGCACAAAGCAATCTAGAACAATGTTTTTCCAAAAGAATGGCAGAGCTGGAAGCACAAATTCAATCTGCAGGACCAGCCAAGGATATAGTTGCGAAGGTGGCTGAAGAATTCCGGACGTTTCGGGAGCTGGTGTTCGCTATGCTGGGCATGATTCGTAAGCAGATAAATGAATGTTCCCATATGATTGACGTTATAGAAACCAGGCATCGTCAGAAGGCTTCAATATTCTTGGGCGCTCCTGAAGCTGATAAAGAGAACTGCAAGACCACTGTTCTGGATATTATGCATAAGATGGGGCTTACCGAAATCACGGAATCTTGCTTATTGGAGTTTCTCATAGGCTAGGAGTAGCCAGCAAAAACCATCGGCCAATCTTAGTTCGTTTCGTGCGAGTTGAAACCCGATCATTGGTTTGGAGAGCTAAGGCCAAGCTTAAAGGTTCTTCTGTTTCCATAAAAGAATTTTTGACAAAGTCACGACAAGCTGTGTTTGGGAAAGCCCGGCTACATTTTGGTATGCGGGCTTGAAAAAACGAAACGAAAAGAGCTATAAAAACCCGCGTGAAAGAACATATAGCTGACATAAAACATAGTAGATTAAACAAGTCTGCAGTTTGTGAGCACACTGTAAATCGGCCCAACCACTACATCAGGTTTGATAGACCACAGATCCTTGCAAAAGAACACCGATTCTTCCCGAGGATGATTCGCGAGGCTATTGAAATTAAAAAACACCCTAATTTCAATATAGAAGAGGGTTGGGTACTACCATCAGCTTGGGATCCTATCATCAATAAAATTAAATCTAAGCCCAAAAGAACCACTACTGCAAGACAAGATACAATTAGCTCCCTCTGCATAGATCGGACACAAAATCGATAATACAAAAACTGACGGTAGCCCGGGTTAACTTTGACAATCAGACGTCTAACACCTCAGTCTGTCCCGTGACCATGAACGCTGTAAAGGGTTCGAAACGTCGGGAACTAAAATTAAAAATAAACGCGATAAATCCGTAAAATTAGTTTCATTTATAATGTGTAATCGCGTAAATACAAGAAATTATTATATATCTAAGTAAGTTGGCAGAATAAAATAATCAGTAGTTATTGATATTGTATATTATTTATTTATGTATATTTATTAAGTATTTGTGAATATTATAGTATATGTATTCTATTTTGTATGCTTAAATAATGTAATATATTTTTGTTATATTGGGTTTAATATGTTTATATACTTTATATATTTTCATGTATATGTCTTAAATTTAAGTATATATGAATATATATATATAACTTTTGTTTTAAATTAAAATTTGGTTTGAAACTTTTTACACCTGCCTCTTTTGTCTCTGCGTCGCCCATAGGTTGACTGGTAGAGAATGCGTTAGGCATTAAGTCCGCCTATACACAATACTAATTTTTTTTGTGTAAAAGTTTAAATAAAATAAATAAATAAATAAATATAAATATATCGTCGTGGTCAATGAAGTACTTCATATATAGAAAAATATCAAAAATCCTATCGGCTATGCTAGAAATTATCCAACATCACTCTCATCGTCTCCCAAATTTGGTTTTTTCATTTATGCGGCATTTAAAAGATTTCTTACTTATAAGTTAAATGCATCTGTACGTTCGATTCATGATACAAGAACAGTCATATCGATATGCACCTAATCGATGTGTACTTTCGAAACTTTCCCATGGATTAAATCGTTTAACCAGGTGACACATTGGGTGCGCCGCGCACAACTATCATACCCCTGCTTGTGTGTGATAAGTTAACTCAAGTGCGGGGATAATCATTGCGTGGGCACCCCTCGCTACCGTCGTGTTTTACAGAGCCATTAATTGTTTTATGACCGTTGTTAAATCAGTTGTAAAGATAACTTCGGTTGGGGATGTTTGGAGGATTTCAGGACTTGGCGACAGAAGACGGTTAACCAGCCTACCGAGCGGGCATCCTGTTTATTTTCTGCTGTGGTTACGCTTATGTGCTGTGCCATAATGCAAATTAAGCCTGAATTAGTATTGGAATTAAGTTCATCCCTGCACCAACTTGGATAATATCAAAAGTTTATTTAAAACGCACTGGTTCCAGATATCGCTCGATTGGGATTCATATTTAAAATTAAACGTCATTCAATATTTTGATTTGGTGCAGCGTTAAATCAACAGCAGGCAAACTGTTGTAACGGGACAGAAAGGATTGGAAAAGTAAAATTAAAATTCTACAAGATACACGTCTGGCCGTCAATTTAATAAATAAATAGTAATATATAATGTTCCACAAGGATAATCGGTAAATAATCAGTTTTCAATACATATGGTATATACGTTATATAAAGAGACCGTACTCTTTCTTAAAAGGCCGGCAACGCATTTGTGAGCCCTCGGGTGTTGCAGGTGTTCATCGGCGGCGGTAATCACTTACCATCAGGTGAGCCTCCTGCTCGTTTGCCCCTTTTCTCCATAAAAAAAAAACGTTGATTTTTCAATGATGGCGATTCGCATAAATCGCGACATATTGTATCCCTTAGACACGTCCTTTAAAACGTTTAAAGCGATACTTAGGGGACAAACAGTGTGAAGCTAAACTAGTAATACGTAAAGCAAACTGTCCGATGTAATGGTTCCTTTCGCAGATTTATGCAAGAACGGCCGGGCCGACGGCGCGGCTCTGAGTCGCAGAAATAGCGTAGGCGTGCTCGTCATAGACGACAGCCATCCGCACTGTTTATGACTTCCTCAGCCAACGGCCTCCTGCTACACCCGATTGTCATCTTTAATATGTACACTTTTCCCTCGTCCGCAATAATGCTTACTTCACTAATTTTTGCAAGTCAAATGTTAATGTTAAACGAAAAAAAAGTTCTTATTTCCTTTAATTCTTACTTAATAGGTTTCAATCAATAGGACGCCACATATCCGGATTGATAATGGTCTTTTATATTAACAGGGAACCTCATCAAACAGCTAAGTGCAAATAACTATTTTTCTTATCACCTTAAGATTTTATTGTTATTTAACACATATGCGTGTTAAATTATTGAAGTGGAAAATTCCGATACGAAATCTATTTTTATTTCGATACAATGTATTACGTTGCCAATCACAACTAACACCCAGCATTACGAGCTAGACTTTATTTTACACCAACAAAACTTCGGCACTTCGCCATTGTAACGACCAATTAATCAACATTACGACGTCCTATGCGCACATGTGGGCATGTAGCAACCTTCAGTCGCTACGAGACCCCGAATATTTACATTCGGCTTCAAAACAAACCTCAAATTGTGAGTAGGCAGCGCCTTATCGCTGTCGCCACAAAATTTGACACGTGTTAAATGTTTTTTTTTACGTTTGGCTGACCTCGCACGGCAGGTACAGCTTTTAATGGAGCCGATAAATCAAAAGCTCATAACAATCTGTTCCTCATTACAAGTTTTGCGATTTCTATTTTAAAGCTGGCAACTCAGTAGCCGGTTGTGACTTTGAGCTTTCCTAAGAACTGAATCGTGTATAGTTCGGTGTTTACTACTTACAAGAGAGAATTTGTCGCATTATATTAATTTGTTTTATGATTTTATCGATGCTATTGACTCCAGTAGATAAAAGTTTTTAGTATTATGTTCAATGGATTTTAATGTAAAAAAATGTAATATCAACGATTTAGTTAACTAGGCGTTTTAAATTTAACTTCATTGAACCATTTGGTTTCATTGTTTTGGAATAATATGAAAATAACCAATGAGGGGTTGTGGGGCCGTATCCTAGAGACGATGAAAAGAGGACTGAGTTCTCTTCTCGGGCTATCTCGGGATTGTAGCTCTGATGTTCCTCTGAAAAAATTCGATACATCACGGGCAACACTCCATGTGTTGCGGTGATGCCAAAGCAGTGAGAGGGAGTTATGGGTGAGTTTTCTTTCTTCCGTTCGGAGCTTATATGCATCCGAGAGATCCCGTAATCAGTGGGTTTTGTGAATATATCCTGCTAAATAAAAGGAAGCAAAAAATGCTTAGGTTAGGAGATAGTATAGATCACATCAGTTTTTAGCTAAGAGCATCATCATCATCATATCAGCCGTAGGACGTCCACTGCTGACGAACATAGGCCTCCCCCATTGACTTCCACCGACCGGTCGTTAGCGGCCTGCATCCAACGCGTCCTTGCGATCTTGGCTAAGTCATCCATCCACCTTGTGGGAGGCTTTCCTATGCTGCGCTTGCCGTCAAGTGGTCTCCACTCCAGAACCTTTTTGCCTCAATTGCCATCGGTTCTTCGAGCTATGTGCCCTGCCTACTGCCACTTCAGCCTGCTGACTCGCTCTGCTATGTCGGTAACTCTAGTTCGTCTACGGATCTCCTCATTTCTTCAAACCCCAAGCATTACCCTTTGCAAGAGCATACACTGCAGAAAATAAGTACTTGGCATATATAAATGAAACATAAGTGTTCCGGAGTCGGTTGAAGCTTTAAATAATCTCAGGACATTTCCATTACAGCAGTGCAGGCATTTCATTAATCTTAAGTTAAAAAAAAGTTTAAATAAACAAAAAAAACCGATTTCATGACAAGTTTTTTTATGCAAGAAGACATTTTTTATGTATGGATATCACGTAATACTATATAAACCGTGAGCACGCCTGATGGTTCGCCTGATATTAAATGATATTAAGTGAGCCCAAGTTACCTCGCTCACCAATACGAAATGCAGCTGTTAATACTTCCACCACACGCTGGTCTTTTGTGAGGTCTAGGTACATCCCCGGACGGAACTGCCCATTCTAGCAACAGCGAAGACTGTTACGTGGCCTGACACAGACACAAAATTATTATAAACAGATTTCACGATGACACGGTCGTTTTAATTAAAATATGTTCGCGAGTCTGAGTTTATCACGAAACAGTAACAGCCAATTAGAAAGATGATTATGTTTATGCAATGCTTGTAATTGCACTGTATATATTATTTGCGACAGATATAGGATACGTGTATGTTAATCAGGTACATGAAAAATTTAGTATAAATGTACGCCGAGCTCATATCGAATCAAATCGAAAACCACGATGATCAACTTAACATGTCTGAATCGAGTTTTCGTCAGGATTTTTGGCTTGATGAACCTTAAGGTACCAATTCCACATTATTTACAAGGCGATTAACTAAAACGATATTGAGATAAAGTTCTTTTACAAGTTTTCTAAGAACAGGCGCAGGATTAACATAGCAAATAATAATCTCAATATAGGGTTTATTTACATAGATTAATACTTTATAAGGCACCTATTATTATTTACAGTTGTGAAATGCATTAAGAATATAATAATAAATACCACGTGCTTAAATGGCCTTTGAACATTTATCTTTCCGTACTGTTAGATTTCTTCAAAACATTCAAAGCGTTGCGGAGTTATAGGTAGTCTTGAAACGTGTGAATAGTTAGATGTTTGCTCAACCAGTTTACACGCTTACTTCTTGCGAACTGCGCGTCTCCATCAGTCAGAAGTGCCTTGAACTCGTAACTGGAGCGGGACCTCTTTACTAATTCCATCGCGAATGAAAATCACGCTACGAGATGAATAAAGAGTTTTTATGAATGAAAGCAAAACGACAATATTTTTTGATGTGAGCAGGCAACTCACGGGAAATTAGATGATCACTGCTGGTCTGCCGATCTCTGGAACCATAAGGCGTAGAGATTTGAAATTTGGTAGGAATATTCCTTTCGCCGATTAGAGGTCAGCTAAGAACGGAATTTACGAAATTCCACAAAATAGCTAGTAGATGTATATTACAATTAGACAAAGAGAACGTGGTTAGGTTTTGGAATCTTTTGAAGTGAAACAAATGTCTATGCAAGATAAGTTAAGTTATTCAAAATTATTGTAAGTTTCATTACATCAATCATAATTTAAAACGTCCACCTAAGTAGTGAACAGGTGCCTTTCCTTGACAAAAGAAAATACTCAACAGCTAGGCAGCATTATGACATTCTCAGTTAATACCGAAAGATTTTAAACCAATTACAAAACGGAACGCGGTCCTGACAAAAAGTTTTATAGTCATGAACAGAATGATTTACAGCTCTACTCATAATTTCACAGTCACCTCCGCCCGCCATACAGCTGTGCCTACCTCTAAGTTCGTGATTGAAGTCGTACCCTTTTACGTCTAATTCTAAACGTTGTTATCGAACAAAAACTCGATGTGTCATAGACTGTTTTAAATTTCTAAATATTAGTTTTTTTAATCGCTTTGCAAACGGAATCTCTTAATGCGTTAAGGTACTAAAAACTAAATTACTGAACAGATTAAAAAAACATACACTTTTTAAAAAACTTTAGGGATAGATTAGTGGAAAAAAACCCCAATCAAATAAGATTAAAAATTATATTTTAAATGTCTCTTAGAGCGCTGATTTTGGCTTGTAAACTATTATTTTTCTAACACTAATAATCGCTACTGATTGCCAATCACGTTGATAAATTACGAGCGTGTAAAGTAGTACTCAGCGTACAGAACGTCCGTAGTTACGAAGAGTAGGTACGTTACTAATAGTATCGGCGATTGTCAAGAGCTAAGATGTTACTAACCAGATGGTGACGCGCGGTAGGTCTCGTGGTCGTCCTACAAAATGCGCTTGCTTTGGAACGCATCAAAACTTTTCTCTTAATAGATATTGTTTCTATATTTACTATACTAATTAAATAATAGCTTTTAGCCTTATTTAAAACAGAATAAGTTTTAATAGTCTTAACCAATCTAAACACTTATTTGTATAAATCTCATTCGATGCCTTTTTAGTTAAATTTTTTGTTGGGATTCTTGAAAAGATTCGAATCACCCGTTCCGATCGTTGCACATCCAACTAAAGGGATTTCTTAAGATACTGATGTAATCAACTGAAATACTCGTATACACGCTCCAACATTGCGGCGCAGTAAATTTCTCTCTAATATTATTTAGTTACGAGGAACCGTTCTCACTAATAAAGAGGGAAATCGCCGCGGGTTCGGCGAAGCCGTCAGCGATTATTACCGTAGGTATCGGTTTCCGAGTGATCCGTTAGTAATCGATCGACTTTTAGTGGCGTGTCAGCGTTTGAAAAAAGGCGTAATTTATTGTCAGCTCGCTGCCCGGGATCGCGGGGAAACACGAACGCGGCACTAGAGAATAAAAACGCAATAAAACGGGCGGGCTTTACGAGCGTAAAATGACGTGGGGCAACGCCACTTGGACTGTTTACAGAGCAACTGCGCATGGCCCAACTGTTTGGTGCGCGTACATAAAGGGTGCTCGTAACTTATTTTCTTTATAGTCATCACTCGATGGCTCCGGTTGACTAGTAATTATCGGGCGCGCGCCGAAAGCAAAGCCGATTTTACTGCGCCGCGGTTCAAGTGCAGCTTATTGTTTGTGTAAACTTAACCTTCCGATACGCTAAGTTCAAATGTAGACTTGCTCGGATTCGGTTAGTGTACACGCTGATAGCTGATATGGACTATTATTTTTTTATTTTGATTTTGTGTCAGCCATTTACGACTTTAAGCTTTCGCTACTAAGGTAACTCTTACATAAGGCTGAGCCGAAGGTTAAATATGGTTATAAATGAATTTTATTTCGTAAAATGTATTTTTTTTTCCTTTTTATAGAATATTATAGGATAAAACAGGCGCGTACTTCATTTTTCTGTTTAATTGTCCTCTTGTCCAATTTCGAAATCCTACCGTGCCAGCGGAAACAAGACGTAAACAGAACGTTTTAAAATATATTAAAGTTGATAATAATAAATAAATAGCAACAAAACCTTTCAGATTGACAATACAATTATAGATCTAAGTAAATTAAAAACCCATATACTTATATACCTTTACTTAAATCATTACAAATTTTTAACACTTTATCCTTCCTGCCAGTCAAGCGTATAAGCTCCATTGCACTTTAAAAAGCAATTCTCTCGTTGTCAAGGCTGAACTAACACACAGACAGATAAACTTCTGAACTCTCAAAGACCTCTTTACATTTTTTTAGACTATTGAAGCTATACCGATTTTTTTTTAATGTGAAAAGTGCCAAACGAGCAGAGGGTCACCTGATGTTAAGTGAATATATTGTATATGTTAAATGATCATATAGTGTGGGGCGGCCCCATGGACATCTGCTACACCCGAGGGTTTGCAGATGCGTTGACAACCTTTTTGAAAATTGGGCTCCGGCTACCTCACTCACCAAACGAAACGCGAAAGTATTATACTTCCACTTTACGCTGGTCTTCTGTAAGGTCGTGGTACTTACCCGGACGAGCCTGCCCATTCGTGCAACAGCCGAAGCTGCTGCATGGCCCTACCAACGAAAGCAGAACTCTTGAGATAGCCAGATCCCAAGAGCTTGGTATGGCACTCCGCCTTAGGTAGGGACGCGCATGTGCTCATTTGTGCGTTATCAATGAGGAGGAACGCCATCTACAGGCCATCGAGGTTCGGTACGAACTGTGACCTCGCTGACTTTTGACTGTATAATCTTTGGCTGGTCGCGGTGTAGAGCCTGGGAAGGGAAGGAACAGAGAAACTTGGGAAATCATGGTACGCATTGTTTTTTACGCCGTGCTCGTAAGGAAGGTCGAACTACGAGTAATCGGTTATGTGTTAGTTAATGTAGTTAGGTTGTCGACAACACTATACCCACTATTTGTGGGTATAGTGTTGTCGACAACCGCTAGAGCGGATCCTAGGTGGCGGATAAAACGACAGCGTTACGGTTAAGGTTTAAATGGAATTGTATTAATAATAACTTTTTTCCTCAGGGGCGGCGGATGTATGCGCCGTGAGCATGTGAAGCGGCCGATGAACGCGTTCATGGTGTTCGCGCAGGCGATGCGAAGGCGCCTCTCCGAGCAACGGCCCTCACTGCACAACGCCGAACTGAGCAAATCTTTAGGGTCGATGTGGAAGTTAGTGTGTTACTTATACATCATGATTTTCTCTCTGTATATCTCTGTGTCAACGAATTTCCTTTCCATCAAAACTTAATCTTCTCTTTATAATTCTAAATAGCGTTAATTTTCCAGTATTGCATTTTAGGAAAATATGATCGATATTGACACGACTGCTCATCATGATTTTCTCTCTCTCTATCTCTTGGACATCGAATTTCCTTTCCATCAAAACTTAATCTACTCTTAATAATTTTAAATAGCGTTAATTTTCCACTATTACATTTTAGAAAAATATGATCATTATATACACGACTACTCATCATGATTTTCTCTATCTCTTTCTCTCTATCTCTATCTCTCGGACATCGAATTTCATTTCCATCAAAAGTTAATATATACAGAACTACTTAAGTTTCACTTGTATAAATTTTTGTAACAATAAGTTTAGGTAAATGTTTTTAGCGATCACAGGAGAAGCGTCAAACACAACAATTACGTTTTTACTAAAATTTCCATTACATGTTATTTTACCTCTTCATAATATGCAACAAATAAGTTAATATACATTAATATAAAATAAAAAGTTAATATAGTATCCAATAACAAAATAATTCACAAAAACAAGTAGCTACTGAACTTTCGATACTGAAAAAGAAAAAATATGTTTACTTATTAACGATTTATTGACATATTTTGAAAACCTGTTGGTTGAATGGGCAGGACCATCGAAGAAAGTAAGTACCACATGTAAAGTAGAAGTTTTGTCCTTCTGCGTTTCGCCTGGTGAGTGAGGTAGCCAAGGCCCACCTTGCAACCCTACGGGTGTTAGAAAGGTCCATGGGCGACGGTTATCACTTAACCGCTAGAATGCTTGCCACCTTTTCAAATAAAAATGCCAATGCAGTCCATCATAGCCAAAGGCTTACTCACTTTCGAGTTATAGGGGCGTCTTCCTGCATATGGTATACAAACATTTCGTATCTATCCACAAGAATTGTCAGTTAATAAAAATGAGTTTCAAACTTGGCAAGCATTGATAATCTCCCACAGCATTCATAAGACGTGGACGTATTATAAATAATCTTTAACTATTTCACGCATAAAGACTGTACAAATCGCGACCTCTAAAGTTTAGGACAAATGAGATTAAGACGGAGCCGCCCTGAACCCGTTGCGAGATAAGCGCCATCGCGCCGCATTGCTGCAATTCGATCGGCGGGCTCTATCTAGCGACGTCAAGTGCACACAGCCGATGGTGGGGGCTGTGAAAGTATGGCTCGGGGGGGCGGCGGGAAGCGCGTGCGGCGTCCAGCGGCGCGGCGTGGATCGATTGTTTACTCATTAAAATGCCCCGGCCGCAGATAGCATCTCTAACTGTCTTCGAGATCGAGATCCGGACCCCAATATCGCTGTCTGTTTCGCATACTTTACCAACATCACGGCTAGGTATTCACAATTAACAAATTTCGAATATCGATGCGTTTTACTCTTTTCGAATAAGTGCTATGTTATGTACATTTTGTGAATGCTACTTGCGGGAAGTGGTTATTTAATAACCACTTCCCGCAAGTTTTTAAGAAAAACAATAAAAATTGTTTTTCTTGTCCTTAAAGACATTTCGATGCTTTTTTATTAATCGCTATTAATGTTGTTAATAACTTGAAACATAATAAAATTATACTTAAGTTATGAATAAAAACGGTTAGCGAACCCAAAAAAGTAATGAATGGAGTCTATCAAACGTTCTAGTTTAAAACAGTTTTTAATCCATTTTCAGTGACATACTGATGTCACTGAAAATGGATCCCGCAGTGCTGATCGTAAAATGTATGATTATTTGGCGTAACCAATCGAATGCATTTATGGTTATAGATGTTTCTGGCAATTATAGCTAACTAGATGAGCTCGTAAAGTGACCGCCGCCCACCCACGTAGCAAAAGAGTTGCTCGATGACAGTGTTATGACACAAAAATCACACGGGTACGGTCATGGAACCACGAGTCATCGTAGAACAATCGATAAAATCATGCTTATATGTAAGTTTACATAGCATAATTACTATAAGTATACCTAACCTTGTTTTCTGCAGTAACATTACATACTATGAATTCAGCGATTGCCTCAATCAGTATGAATATAAATGCCAGTATTAAATTTATCAACTGCTCACGCAATTAAAAGAAAATAGTAATAAATTGTGGTCATAAACCACAATTTATCTTTCTTTTCTAATGATAAAGACATGTAGAATTTTTTATAAGAGACCTTACAGTGTTTTACAAATTATTCGTTTCCAATTATTGTTTTCGAATTTATTATTTATTTACATAAAATAACAATAACGAGAAGAGATTTTTATTAAATTAGAAAAACCAATAAAAAAATGATCGAAAAGAATAAGTTGTTATGTGAATTTTTATCTTTGGTTCCGCAACTTATCAAAAGTTTATTTATCGACTGTTAACTAATTGAAAACCTAAAAAAAGTACGGAGAAATAAAAACTTCAAGTGGCTGTTTCTCGTCATAAATTAACTGTTATATAGAAAAAGTCCATTTCACAAACGACATTTTTAAACTTAAACATTATTTTTATTTCTTTGCTCGGGGTATATATCACAGTAGTTAAAACTTTCTGCCACGCGATTTCATCTAAGTAACCAATCAATTACAATGCACGAGCTCCTCTACAAACTGCTATGGCACACGACAATTCAACTTTGTATAGTAAAAAAAAATTAATACCAGAAGAGCGCGATAATGTCAAAGGCGACTATTTCCAGACGCCACTCCTCTCCGCTGCTGTTAATATCGCGTTTACTATACACAAATGTAATTAAGTACGACTAATTTAAGTGGTCGTACTTGTGTAAATTAGTCTGCAAGTCCAATAGAATTGTCATCTGTACTTAACTCCACATTATCACAATAGAGAGTACATTTTTATTTGACATAAGGTTAGGGACTTCCACCGCCCATGGACATCTGCAACATCGTGTTGGCAACCTTTTAAAGAGTCGTCTCAGTTACCTGACTCACCAAGCAAAACGCTGGTCTTTCCAGAGGCCCCGGACGGATATTCCAATCCGTGCAACAGTAGAAGCTGTTGCGTGACCCTACCATAGTAATTTAATATTGGAAGCTTGGAGGTAATTCAATTTGCTCGAGTATAATATATTAAACAGCAGGCACCAGACACTTATCTTCCACGACGGTGACATTAGTGAGTGTGTTATGCTCACCCAATACAGCCAAAAAGAGTGAAAATGTGGCGCAGTTGCCAAGAAATTGATTTCAGTGCTGGTGGTTGTGGGTTCGATTCACACACGGGACAATTGTTTGTGTGACCTACCAATAATTGTTTCGGATTTGGGTCTTTTGTCCACGTGAAATATGTGTATGTAAAAATCCTTACACCATAGGATAATGTTTTTCTACAGTAATGGCAGTGTTTTTTAAAAAAAAATAAAAAAGTGGATACACGAATGGACAGTTTCTTTTTCTATCTTTAAATGACCACTCATGTTAGATACCTACTTCGTTCGTTAATAGTAATTTTACTAGGCGCAACCTATAGATAAAGTTCAACTCGTTATTCTATCCATCTTTTTATTGGTTTTGTTAGCCTTTTTTTTGTTGACGTGGGGGAAAATGCCTATGCATACCCGCCCTCGCAGGGGGAAAAAGCGGGTTATGTCAGACTCGCACCGACTAAAACCCCCACGATGTTACACTTATGCGCATATCGGCAGGGCCACGGGAACGCACACTTCTGCGACCCTGCCAGCGCTGGCCGCCTCAGCAGCCCCCTCCCGGGGATCAACTCCCCTCTCCCCCAGATAAGGCGCGCTGGAACATTCAGCGTGCCTGCCTACTCGGCCCCTTTATTCCGGCTAACGAACTTCACCCGCGTTCGCTGACCAGGGGCCATGCGAGCCTGGAGAGCTAGTGCCAATAAGCAGCAAGCCTCCCAGCCCCCAGCGGCGGAACTGGTCTTTGACTCTGCCACTCACCACATTTCGGCCGTGGAGGGTAGGGAGAACAGCGCACCGCAATATCGACACTCAACAACTCCCCCCCTCCGCGGCCCCACCACCACTGCACCAACGCAGCCCCGCCGAGTCGCGGAGGATAGGGAGAGCGGCCAACGCAATACCGATACTCCTCTTCCCCTGCGACTCCTCCTGGGTAGCAGAAGACAGGGAGAGTGACTCCACCTCTACCACTCTCGACCTGTCCCCTCCACCCTCCAGCACGCATCCAGAGTGGGCTCAATGAGCCCACTCGAAGCGGCCCTCTCGGGCCAGCCTTAAACCACAGGCCGGCCCAGTGTGGGTTCCTCTTAGCTTCGGAGGGGCCTTGGTGACCAAGCCACGGCTACTAAGCCCCTCCGGCACGTCAAGGCGGGAACCCGGTCGAGGGGGTGTTTGAGTAAATTGAACTAAAAGCGAGCGCCTGCACAATGTTGCTATCATGACTCTGATGAATGAATATGCTTTATAATTGACAGATAGATTTGTTATTTGCTACCTGTAACATCATCATCGTCATTATCAGCCGTAAGACTCCACAACGACACTTTATCACCGTCTGTAACAACAAAAAAGATTTTATTCCACTGTTACAAAAGATCTTGTGAACTTTTAAAGCTGGGACAAAGACTAAAGAGCTTTTTATTCGCCTACCTAAACGTCAACTCTTTCTCCCGCAGAAGCTTGAGCGAAGGACAGAAGTTGCCGTTCGTGAAAGAGGCGGAGAAGCTGCGAACCCAGCACAAAAGGGAGTACCCGGATTACAAGTACCAGCCGCGACGTCGCAAACCGCCACCCGCCGCTTCTTCAGCGGCGAGGCTGAAACGGGAGCCTTCCCCCGAACGGGCGCAGATAGACTTCTCGCGAATAGAGGTAGACGAAGCGCTGCTAGTTGACGGACCTCCCGACGGGGCCGAACTGGACCAGTACTTGAAGCCAACGACGGTGCCCGATTACCACGAGATGCAGCCGCGCTACCCCACGCACAACCTGACGCACCACGGGCCCGCTCTGTACGCGCCGGTACCTTCGCATTTGCACCCGCCATGCGCGGACTGGCAACACTATGCGAGCCTATCGTAAGTTGCGGCCCTGGCCGTTCACGACAAACGTGAGACATTCGCCGGTTCTACGCCAACTAGCGGCTGTAGATATAGATTGTAAATATAAGTATGTCATTTGATATGGAAACGGGATTTAGCAACCTCCATGCGCACGTGCGTTTAATCAAGAGCAAAGTAAACATGTTGGTAGGAAAGTTCAACATGCGGTAGTGTGAACGTACTTTCTTCGATATGAAAACGTATTGATGTTAAATATATATTTAGACCTACTTATAGATAAAATCCGAACTTAAATTATATAAAATCTATTGAAGTGAACAACTATCATGTTCGCGGTAAGTTATTGTTATCAAACATGTAAAATAAATGTAAATCAAGCAAAAAGATCGTATTTACAAAAAAAAGCTGCAGAATGCAAGTTACAGCACCCGAATATGCTTTTTTTTAAGAAATTAAAATTATTATAACTTTTTAATTATTTTTATAATTTAAGGAAAATTCAATAACGCAGACTGGTAAATTATAATGTGGTAAAGCAATAGAATAGTTAAGCTAATAGCTAGTTTATTAAGACAGTCCTCAGTTTCCAAAGTTAAAATACACATCGACTATGGTAAGTGAAAAATCAATGGATAGATAATTTTAAGTTATTATTGTGATTAATTAGGGCTATGTGTATTATTACGTTAATGTTATTTTTGAAATAAAACGTTTCAAGGGATGTTTTATTTTCATTTGCTTTTTTCCAATATTTTAGGTTTGATTGAAAATTTAAGTTGATAGGTATATGGAATTACAATTGGTTTATTACTTCCCACTAAATGTTATTATAAAAGTTTAATTTGTATTAGGTAGGTACTTGAAGTTTTGGAGATCGATATAAATACGATACATGGCATATCAGTGTAGGTTATAGTCGGTATCAACAGCAAAAAAATCTTTCCAGTCCCTGTTTAGTGGAAAGTAATTTATATATCAGACAATAATTTTAAGAAGACTATTTAAGGAATCTAGTGACAGGCGAGCTATTGATTGACAACAGGATTAATGGAAGTAATTCTCGTTCCTATGTCATTCGTCTTCTGTATGTAACAACTCAAATTAGATACAAATCTGACACTAATCTAAAAATCTATATCTTAAAATATTCATCCCTAAACACACATTCAATCCTAGCACACACCACTCCAAAATTCATCCAAAAAGAAAGTCGGTACTCTTAGAGGTCGATTGAAGAAGTACATTTTTACTAAGGAAAACCAAAACCGTACTTCAAACATCTGACTAACTATACATTTTCTATTTTATTTTGATACTTTCCAAACTGAGGTCCGTTTGTACGTTTTGTTTATGTTTGTTAAACAAAAAAACATACAAACGAATTGACAGGCTCCTCCTTTTTTGAAGTCGGTTGAGAAATCTTTGTAGCGCGGGAAGATTCCTCGAAATACATGTAGGCATGTCCCGGCCGGGATGATAGGACGCGACCGCCGGCCGACCGCTTCCGGCGTGATCGAACTGCTGCACACAAAGCCTCCTTGTTGTCCTATCTTATCACTCTCACATTTTTCGCGACCGACGCTAATGAGGGCAGCGAACATCGGCTACTTGTGTGATTATGCTCTTTTGAGATAATTTATCAGGGTTAAATAAGGTTAATTTAATGCCGATCTATTTTTACGACGGCTTTAATGGGCGATGCTGGATGACTCCGACTAAACGCCTGTGCTTGAAAAAGCTAACTGTGCTTCCTAGTTGAACTAGCTAGCGATAAGTATTTTTTACATCAACTTTTATTTGTGCATGCGCGCTTTTGGACCGTTTATTTCTCAAAACAAATGCCGTTATAGTTTTGAATACTCGCCAAAATTGTAATTTAATTGGAACGTTTAAAAGTATTTTTGCAATACTAACGATTGAATGTTAACGAAATTATATCAAGAATACTACACATTTAAATTTTCCCGCTGAATGCTTACTTTATTTACCCATAATGTGAGAAAGGGAAGTCTTTTTGAAAGCATATCTTCGTGTACGGTACACACTTCAAAATTGAAAAGTTGTTGTGTATCATATAAATTTAAAGGAACAGAAGCAATTTTCTACTTTAAAAAAGAATTCGTTGATTCCTAAATCATACCATGATGAAACTTTGCTGAGGTGTCTACGTCTTCATTTTACCTGTATTAAAAATTAAATACTCGTAAATACTTTTGTTTTCTTCGAACATCATTGCATCACGTGTCGGGTAATGTTAATAAATTATTAAGGAAATTATTTTTTAACCTGATACAACTACGTAGGTAATAAATACCACGTATCAGAATCCTAAGCTTACAACTTCGAGCCAGGTTAAATTTTGTAACAATCAACATCAACAGAAAAACAACACACGCAATAATAAATCGAATGCGGTATTCCCGAACTTCGAACGTCGTCGGGAGCAAATAGAAGTTGCACAAAAACGTTGCACAAAAAGTAAAACGAAGCTGTTATGAATTTGTAATGGTGCATAGTGATCTGGGATATTAAGATTGAGTGCAAATGGTGCGCGAGGCGCGTGCGCCGGGCGGCGGCTCGTGTTTCACATAGGCTGCATGTGCGGCGACCGACGTGCAGGCGGAAGATATCGCTTAACCATCGAGCTTTTTTTCAGGCAACATCATGAGATATTAATTACCGGGGCGGAGGATGGCATGCTCAATTTCACGCCCTAATTCACGCTATTTTTTTGTCTTGTAACCATTGACATACGCTTTGAAGCTTCAAACATGTTAATTGTGACAGGAATTTGTCCGCACGGCTAAATAGGCTTATAATTCGATTTTGCGATAATTTGTAAACATTTTATGGCAATTGGTTAGGAAATATTAGAGGGTATTGGGCACTTATTTTGTATGCTCATATTAAGTATCATTTATTTGTTACAATTATTTTTGTATATGGACCTTCACATAATTTGTTCTAAAATTATTGTACATGAAAAAAAAAGGTTTGAGGGGTAGTCAGCACTGGCCTGGTAATATTATAAAAATGTTAATGATGTACCTGACCACTTATTATGTAAAGGTCAAGTTAAACTTTGAAGAGAAAGTATCGCTCAAGTGGTACGAGAGAGCGATAACTCGTGTGAAATCACGGTCGCATAGCATACGCCAGCGCCTGTAAGACGATACCAAGGCGTCTGGTGAACATCGTGGGGAAATCAAATCCGAACACAATCATACGGGCCGCCATCCAAGTGCCAACATGTGCACAATACATCTGTAACGTCTAGTAATTAATAACGTATGACTTACACAGAATCAAAGCTAACACTTACATATGCGTAACTACTTACTATATACGAAATAGTTCTCAGAATTCTACTAGACATAATTATAGTTGTATCAATCTATCACCACATTGTGATCATAACAAATTGAAATGGTTATAATTATGAACTGTGTACGTGTCTTTTAATATGTGAGGAGGTGGCAGGCAGTTTCCTTTATGTTAAGTGATTCTCACCACCCATGAAAATATACAATATTATGGGTTTGTGCAAATGAATTGCTACGTATAGATGTACATATAGGTATAATCAAGTAAAATAATTTGACATTCTATGTCTATGTATAATTGTTAATGTATAACTGTTTTATTTCTCAGTAAATATTAAAAAAAACGTCTGCCAATCCGCAGTGGGAACACATGGTCTTGCTATACAGGGGATTCACACAGATAGGCTGTTACTTTACTATAAGTTATCTCCTACTATGTATTTTCTGACATCTAAGATTTGTGACGCATTAGCAAAAATCACTTCTTTGCGGGTGTTGGGTGAGGGTTCATATGGCAAATATTTCTTACTAGCTGCTGCCCTCGACTACGTCTGCGTAGAATAGGCTGAAGGCGTAACATCTAGACGGAAAGACAGATATACATAAAAATATGTATTTAAATATAGCCTATATCTTATTCTGGTGTATGAGCTATTATATTTTAAAGTTTCATTAAAATCCATTCTGTAGTATTGGCATGAAAGAGTAACAAACATCCATCCATACATACAAACTTTCGCCTTTACAATATTAGTAAGGATGTACACGTTGACGACTGCCAGAGCAAACTTTTTTCTAATGTCTAGATTTTGTGAGGCAAAATAGCGGCTGTGATAAACCAAATTTAGTGCAATTTAAACCTAGGAAGGTACAGGATTTTAAATCTGGGAGGATATAGGTTTAAGCGTTTACCTGAATGGGGAGGGCTATTCGAATCTTCGAAATTCAAATTCTTTCTGATCGCCTCGATCCTTGGGCCTTTCGAAAAAATTTTGCGTCGCTGCTTTTATGCCACTTCCATGCGTTTTTCAAGAAAGAATTTGTCACGCAATACTTAGTGGAATCAAAGGTCGCCTGTCATACTTCCGGACCGAACCTACATAAAAAATATGGATATCAATGGGAGATGGTGATCACTTGCCATCAAGTGTGCACTTGTTTGTTTTTTCACATTCACAATAAATTTATTTATTGTAAATAAGATTACTTAGATTTTATAAGAAATATTCACAAAATGGACGCTACGTATTAAAAATTGTAAACCAATTGGATACGTACGAACAAAATAGAAACGTAGCACTATCATGGATAAGTTGGTTATACTAAAAAAATGTTATAACCGGACCTGCACCTTTATTCTGCGATCCTTAAACCCTTGCCTGCGTATATTTAGTTTATTAATTGTCAAGATTATTAACTTAGTTACTGTGGTAGGGCTACGCAACAGTTTTCACCGTTGCTCGAACGGGCAAGTCCGTCCGGGTAATTACCAGTTTTACACTTCTGTGTTTCGTCTGGTGAGTGAGATAGCCAAGGCGCACTTTATTTAAAGGTGGCAAGGCATTTTAAACCCTAACCCGCGTTGGTAATGGTCACACTAAAAAAGCGGCGTCTAAGAGAATTGACTGCGAAACACAAAGGGTCTCTGAACAAAGTGATGCGAGGAAGGTGTATTTATGGTAGAGATGGTCTAAACATTTTTAGGACCGCACGTCTTGGATGCAGGGGCCTAGAGAGTGCGAAATACCGGACCAACGGACTTGAATAATTACTATATATTCGTTTAAAATGTTATTGGCGCTTCTTTGAAGATGGACAGAGTATTTGTTTTAAGGTCGCGATGAAATTCGGTGTTGTACCATGGGGCGCCGATTGTGAGAAGGTAAAGTTTGTTTTTATTTTTAAAATATGCTTGCATAATGGTGGATATTTCTGTACGTATTTATTGTGAAATTGTCTATCGAAAATACTATATTTTGAGAACATGAAAATGGGATATCTATAAACACATTCAGGATTCTTCATGTTGATATAGGCAACCAATTAAGTACTTGGTTTTACTAATGTGGGTCATTTGGTTAGCCATTATTTGATTGTTAATATTATTATTCAGGGATTTAAATATTAGGTAATTGTATAACTTGTTTGTTTTGTTTATAAATTAAGTGTCGCCATCCCCTATTTCGGAGCATCTGTGTCAGGAACAATGATGTTATAAATAAAGATGACTTACCTATGTCCATACTGCGTGTCGTCCAAAAATATAACATCCTTTCCCTGTCGGGAAAAAAAATACATTGAAATTTGCATTAAGATTTTTCTATTAAATTACTGTTTGAATATAACCTTCTGTAAAGTACTGCCTTACTGGGTTCCAACTGACTCGCAACGATAGGGTCAGCAAAGGCTATAGTGAAGTAAAATTTTACCTGCGAGCAGATATACCCTATAAAATAGTTGATCAGTCGACTAGTGAATATTCCAATATTAACATTTGAGTATTTGTTTATTGAAATCACTGTAGGCCATTCGCTTGGAGTCTACTTCCTCCTTTACGAAATGTCGATTGCTTCTTCTCTCTAGAAGCAAAACTTTAATGTCTTACTCCCACTCTTACTCTTCATAATAAACAAAAAAATTAGCTTTAATTTGATATGTATATAATAATTGTACGTTATGAACGTAAAGACGTATCAAAATTGTACATGTTTATACCTGGCTGCGAAAAAGTGCGGCCGAGTGCGCAACGGCAAACGCGATTTTTCAGTTTTTATATATATTGCCGTGAAGTAGACGATACTTTATTTAAAAGTGTATGATTTTTTTTCCAAAAATCAATTAACAATAGTTTAATCAAAAATATTAGCGGCCACGTTTTGATAGGCAATCCGGTAAATAAATATTCTTCTAATTATAAATACCTGTAAATACTAGGATTTTGGCATATACTCGATAAGTGTAGTACTATTCCGCAGCCGGATCTCGTACTATATTACTATTTCACCCCATCAAATAAAATTCGCTGGGCTATGGACAGTAACTATCTGTCTGACTTAACACTTTTGACTTCAGCAGCGCATTTAGTCCTGTCAATTATGACATATTTCAAGGAATTATTTTATCTTTAAATATCTCAAGCTCTGTAATCTCCTGCTTTGATTACTTCCTGCCACAATGTATACGCCACGAGAAAGTCCTCTGAGTAATGCAATCTAACTGTCGGGGTTCCTCAGGGAAGCGCTCTTTCTCCTATCATTTTTTCTTTTTCATTAACGTTTTTACTACTCTACTCCCTTCTCACTATTTACTTTACCTATGCAAATTATTTTCAGCTATACTACTACTTCAAAGCAAAAGATATGAATTATGCTATTTCCCTGCTAAATAATGATTTGAATGCTATAAAGATTCGGGCTCTCACTTTACTTTACATTTATGTTAATTATTTTCAGCCGTACCGCTACTTTAAAGCAAAACTTGAACCCTGATATTCAAAAAGGCAGCTTTGTCCTTAATTGCAAGTTACAACAGTCAACTAGCAACAAAAAACGAAGCCTATCAAAAAAATGGAAAAATTTAAAACAAGTTTGAGTTTAAAAAATAACACTATGACCATGGACGGTGCAGCAAAACTTTACACATCTCTACACAATAATTTTCAGAAGTATGAATCAGCTAAAGAGAGAAATCTAAAATCCGTCTGTAGGCCCGTGTGTCACTACCAATTTTCTCAGGAACGGGTGGACCTAACAAGTTGAAATGTATACCAGTTACTTATGTCTATAGTCCCCATTAGGTGTATAAAAAATAAGGTCCTGTGTCATGTTAATTGATATGGGCAAATTTAGATTGTCGCGAAAACTTGTAAGTACGAAAACTTACCTCAATTTTTATTTTTTTAATTTTCGGAATTTTCCCTTTACAGCAGTAAGACTTTGCTTTTAACCGAAATTAACAATTCTAGGTCAACCGAAAGTAACCTATAGATTTTGATTTCCGGTTGACCTAGAATCACAAAATTTGGCAAAAAGCAAGGTCTTACAGAACAAATAAGGAAAAAATACATAAAATAAAAAAAGTTTAAAATTAAAGGATGTCCCCATTCATACATTGTTGAAGCCAATTAAGATAGTCCTCTGACGCCCGGTTTCTGAAACACTGATCTTGTAGAAGTTAACTAATCAGCTGTCAAATGGCTTTTCAAATATCAATGCAGAGAGTTTAACCATCTTTTGGCGACTCAAATGACATTTGACGAGCCTTTTGACAGCTGATTAGTTAATTTCTACGATGATCAGTGTCTCAGAAATAGGGCGTGAGTTATATAGGCACCCATACAAAAACTACGTTCTAGATAATGGTACGGAACCCTTCGTGCGCGAGGCGAACTCGCACCTGGCCGCTTTATTTTTTGAAGGTTCATCAAAGACTACAGTGCGATGGCATAGTATCTGCTATTATTGCAATTAAAATCTGTAAGCCATAACGGACCAAATATTCAATTGTCCAGTGTCAACCGGTGTGAAGAAGAAAACGCGTCATTCCACAAATTATCAACTTAGGACGCCACAGTACTATGGACTTCATCCATGTCAGCATCAAACAGCACAAACGAAGAGGGTTGCATAAGAGTAGATGGATCAAACATAGGATTCATAGGCCCAGCTATTTCAGCTTTAGCTTCGTTTTACTAAGGAATGGGATGGGCGAAAGATTAAATGGGATTTTTTTTTATGATAATCACAATTACAATTAAACATAACCGCTTATTTATTCTCCGAGTTAACCTCAAACTGCCACTTTGTAATCATAGCCATTCGCCCAGCTCATTTAGTGCAGATGATTTAAAAATTCATATACATAAAAAGCATGAAAAATTTTCGCTATTAAATTGTACAATACAATAAATAATAAGAACAATATATTAAATTAAAGCAACATCCCCAAAATAAAAAAAAAAATTGTACTAATAAACGGAACAGAGAATTTAGACGACGCTTCTAGGTCTAACTAAGAATAATGCGCGTATCCGACTACATCGAAAAATATAAAATTGACAATTTGACAGATAGCTTTAGCTGTCAAGCTCAACAATTTGATAATTTTGATAACATTCGTTTTCCTATCGATTATAATATTTTTTTTCTGGAAATGATTACTTCGGGTTTTTCATGAAGTGCATTTAAATTTTAGTTTTAATGGCAAATTTACCGAATGGCTGGCTTTAGCTGGTGAGTCACTTGTGTTATTGAGATTCAATTAAGAGCAAGTACTTCGACAGTTTGTGTTATTATTGCCGTCCTTAAATAGTAATTGGCCACAATTGTTTAATTTACGACATAACAAGTTTAATTTGTTTTATGAAATATTTAAAACATTCCGCACCCCATTGTGTTTAAGTTTAGTTAGACGTGTTACTGCTTATAAAATATTTGTTTGTATATTTTTTTTTTCATGCATAATAAATAATGAATAAAAAATCTAAATATAACAGGTACCTCTCTGAAGGCTTCCAAGTGATCATTGAGAAGTCAAAAGAAGCCAAATGTTCTTTGCAAGATGTTCAGTTGAGATTTCTTTGCCCTGATGATTTAGAAGAGGTAAGTCATTAACATTGCCTGGAAAAAATACTACCATAGGATCATTGTTACCTATACCTTGGCCACCTATATGTACACTACTGCTAATACTAGTGTTTACTGTATTTTCCTCTTGTGTATTTCCTTGTGTGCAATAAAGTATATTGTATTCTAGAAATATTTAACTTTATGAATGATATTTTTATAGATATAGAATTAATATTTTATAACCTAAGTCTAAATGTTCATAGAAACAGATTGCATTAATACAAACAAAAAAAAATATGTACATAATTTTTTTTTACACTTTTTTACACAACATTTTCCAGCCCCAAACTAAGCAAAGCTTGTACTATGGGTACAAGAAAACTGATAAAAATACTTTTTTTGTAAATAAATACATATTATACATATATAAACACCCAGATACTAGGAAAACACCATGTTCATCACACAATATTTTTCCAGTAGTGGGGATCGAACCCACACCCTCTGGCGCAGGAAGCAGGTACACTACCCACAACGCCATTCGGTTTACCGAAAATTAAATATATTATGAATTCTTATTTATATAGATATAAATGCTCTGTATTAATATTATTATAAAAATAAATATTTTTTTTTATGGAGAAAAGAAAAAAATGTCAAATATAAAAATTTATGTTAAAAAATTGTTTAATGAATTTTACAGCTGTACAGTATTTATAATATTAATAAATCATATTTTTAATTATTTCCAGGTGAGATCCCTATGCAGAGATTGGTTTCCAATAGAGTATCCCCAGTCATGGTATGAGGACATAACATCATCTGAGCGTTTTTTTGCACTAGCTGCAATTTATAAAACACAAATCATTGGACTCATAGTTGCCGAGATTAAACCATATCTAAAGCTAAATGCAGAAGATAGAGGCATACTTTCACGATGGTTTGCATCAAAAGATACATTGGTTGCTTATATACTGTCCCTAGGTAAAGAAGCATGTCATTGTATACCTATATGATACCAATTATTTAACCCTATGCAAAAAACATTGCCCTAAATGACTGTGTGCATAGTGTAAAGTGACAGACAGTCAATTCCTGTTGTATTTTTATACTTAATAAAACTTGAGGCTTTTTCTGAGTATGCTTTGTGCATACTAAAAAAAACCAATTCATTTCTTTAAAGTCAATAACAATGTATTATAGAAATGTGTAGGAAACCCCCCAAGTTTACCTTAAGCATTATCCATTCATTTCTAAAAAGCAATCTAGTGCTATTTACTATAGTGTATACTTAGACATAAAAAAAAACTGTGAAACTGTATCAACACACATGAGACACAAATTACAAGCAGACATTGACCCTAAAAAAATTGCAGCCGTAAGTCATCTCCCAATATCCAATGCTCCATCTTTTTGTTTACATGGGAAAAAACCTTTATGGATTATTGCCACGTAAAAAAGATATAACTGGATCCTGGTCATAAGTTCGATTAAAAAAATTACAACACGGCACATAAAGTATTGATTTGTGTTGATAAAACTGCTAATACATCAGCATTGCCAAATGTTGTATTGAGTTATGAATATTGATTCTTATTTATTATTTAAAAAATAGAAATGTTAACATTGCGAACTATTTTTCAGGAGTAGTGCGTTCATACAGGCGTTCAGGTGTAGCAACAATGCTCCTGGATGTTTTGATGAATCACCTTGCCGGGCCAGTGGCTCAACTGCCGCATGAACACCGTGTGAAGGCAATATTCCTTCATGTACTAACAACAAATAATGAGGCTATACATTTTTATGAAAAAAGAAGGTATTGTACATTACGATCTAATGTTATAATTGTTTTTTTATTGCAATATTACCCTTGATATTATTGGCTAGCTCAAGTTCAACTCACATGTTATCTAAAAATTGGTGTTTACACACACATGTATTTTTATTCCATTTCAGTTTGTATAGTATATAAAAGATTAACACATTTTATACTTTGAAATATATAAATGACCTATACATATTAATATTAAAGACGTATTTATTAATCAATTAATAGTTTTTGTATGTTTATTGTTTACTTTATTGTTTCTAGTTCGCTTTTTTTAATATATAAATAAACCTATTCTGATTGTATCGATAAATATATCTTATGTCCAGTCAGTCAAAAATGTAACATATCTATTATTTATTTAAAACATCCTGACGGTAATAACGTTTTAACATGATTCTTTGGTTTGGGTGTGAATGCTCGTTGCAGCGTTGTCAAATTTCTTTACAGATTCCGTTTGCACTCGTTCCTGCCTTACTACTATTCAATTAAAGGTCATTGTAGGGACGGATTCACTTACGTTTACTACGTGAACGGAGGCCACGCGCCTTGGGGGATATACGACTACGTTAAATACGTGGCTCGGGCGGCGTGGAGTGGTGGTGGGTTATACCCATGGCTATGGCGAAAACTCCGCACTGCCCTAACAATAGCGTGGCACAGATAATTAATGAAACAATACTCCTTCGAGAAATATACACATGTACACACTAAACAGTAAACGTAATATAAGATTCAAATCGGTAAGTTCATCGGCAAGATTTAAGTCAAAACCATTCCCTAGTGTCGTCAAACTTTTGTGAGTTTGACGAAAATTATATCGTCCAATGAAAATGCTCTGAAAGAATTTATTATTATTTGGCATTACTAAATATTTTTCATACAATCATAACACAAAAAAACACGTTTTTAATTTCACGCGCAAAACTTTGTAAGTACTTTTAATATAATACTAACTTAAGATGAAGAAAGTGTACTATTGTCACAAATTTTCTTTTTTCCTTGTCATTTTATGAACAATCATATATTTAATTTCACCATATGTTGATCGTTAATTATAAATTTTAAATTAGACTATGTATTTTATGACGTTAGAAGCGTAAGACCGTTATTTATTTTAATACTGCATGTGTCATTTACGGACACAGTTAAATATGCAAATATAAATAAAATGTATAAAAAAATATATGAGTCATAAATTTTCGGTGCATTTATTATATAACTGAATGTTTAATTAGTTTTTTCTAGTGTTTAATTAGTCTTTTCTATGAAAGTTGATTCAGATTTAAGATCTAATCTGAAAATTTTTGTCATGGCAAATTGGCTTCTTCATTTTATCTAATAAACCGATGGACCAAGTGATTGCTATGGGCAGTATTTAATATCAGAGTCGTTTTTTTTTTTAATGGAGTTAATTTTTCTTACAATTCATTTCTGTACAATTAGTAATTTAAATAATGATATCATATTAGCGGAAACCTTAAATAGTCTATGTTCTATTTATTTCCGCCGAATACTCCAAAGAGTACACATGAAACACATTCTATTGTAAAAAAAATTGGATTTTGCTGTATTATTAAAGTATGTGTTTGTAGCAGTGCTTTTGCTCAGCAGTGGTACATGTATAGGCTGTTACATTATTTGTTTTATTTATTTCACATGTAACGTTATATTACTTAGGACTGGCGAGTGTATCTAAAACTAATACATCATAATCACTAGCCTCTAAAATTTTAAAGAGACTAATTGATATTTAAAAAAAAAAAACAATTCATAGAAAAGTTTTTTAATAATGTTATGAAATTATGGAAAAATGATATCAATAGTCTTCCTTTATTCGCAATTTTCTGCTGATTTGATTTGATTTTGATTTGGTGACTTTACAAAATTACTTGAGATAAATTTAATATGTTTGAGCACTTCACATAATTTAACTATTATTTAAAAGAGCCCATTAGGCATAGATAGTTAATAAGTAAATGAGAAGAATAATTATGGCTATCACACACTGGGTATTCTAGCAAGATTCTTCGCCAACTTTTAAAGAAAAAGTGAGTTGTCCACAATCACAAGAACTAGCCACAGACTGAAAATAACATGGAGTGTTATTTCTTTGTGAAACTTGTTTTTTTTTTCTCTTTCTTTCAATATGGTAATGATTTAAAATAACTATTATACAGAATGATTTTATAGACGACGGACATATTAACATAGCATTTGCAGAATATGATTCTAAATCTCAATTACGTACCAGGTACTTTTGACCTCATTTTTTTTTCAAAGATTATTTTTTCTAACATTATGGACCTTAAGAAATTCTTGCCTTACCGTCTCAATAAAAATAACCTATTCACGAGAACTAAAACGTTTCGCTGAACGCATAATTACTAAACCGCTTATCAATAGGGTGACCACTCTTAACGGGATAAAGATACAAGGCTTGAATTGATTTTTTTTTTGTTATTACTTGTCAAAATAAAATATTAATATTTTTTTAAATCATGGAATGGTCAATTAAAATTATGTCAAATCAATTAAAATCATCCTGTATATTACATATTGGCTATTTTGGCTTGGCTTTATAATTTAGTTTTCATTAAACTCGGATAATTTCAATTATTCTCTGAATACTGACTACCAATATGAGAGCTTGTAATTAAGTTATTGTCAATAGTAATGTATTAGTACTATAAATAATTTGTCAATCTAAATCACGTTTGATATCTCTTAGAACGTCTTTACGTGGCGAAATTGATCAAATGGTTGTCGATGGCAATCTATAACATGTATGTATGAGGAAATTATAACATATGCATGTCAATAAGAGACATCAATCGCAATGAAATTATCTTATATGGAGTGCCATGAGTTATTGCCAAGAAATTTAAAGTAAGGAGCCTGTGTGTTCAACTATAAGAGGTAATTAATAAATAATCGGATATTTTACTTGATATTGATAAGTCAAATCAGTTTTGATGACTATAGTCTGAGGATCCTGCATTCGTAAGCCTTTATAACTGTTATGTACTTTGATTTATTGTAGGTCGTTATTTGTTTAGCGTAAATAACACTATTTGTATATATAACAAAGCAAAGTTATTATTGTAATAATCACTCACTGTAAACCAAAGCTTTCAATATTTACTTACCCTCATTTTTGTGTTTATATTAAAGTATTATCTAAATTATTTACTTAATTGATTACTACATTTAGTATTATTTTATGGACCATAGTAAGTACTTTTTGTTTTATTATAATTGCTTATTGTGATACTCTGTGACTCAAAATTTATTGTCACATTACCAAAATTGTAATTTGAATTTAAGTAATGTTTTATGCGATGAAAGAAATACTAAAGCATAGTTGTGCATTTTCACGAATTCGTTACTGCACGTTCCTAAGTTTTTGAACGTAATGTTTTGTTTATATATTTAAACACTTAGTATTATGAAGAAGAATAAGCTTCCAAATAAATATCATTGTTGACGATTTTTCTGTTATGATTTCTTATCCACCCTGTAAACAATATCAATATGTAGTAGTAGACAGTAAGTTGCGCATGTGCATGATTACCTCACATACTACAGTATATTTGATGTTGTCATTTTACAGCCAAACTATAAGGATAAGCTTTGAAGTTGAGTATTGGATATCGTCGGCAAAAGCTTCATGAAAATTTCGAGATAGGTATTAACAGCCTCTACATTGTCCTTTCGCCACTAGACCCTGTATTGACCTCAACATAACTTAGAAACATTTACAATTATATCATTTATAATGAATGCCTTAAAATTGAAATAACGGATATCATTGTTATCTTCTGTGATTTATAATTTTCACAGAACTCAGGCCATAAGCTACCGCAGCTTTGCAAATATGCAGGCTCACCAAATGAAATGTGGTTAATTATGCCACTGTTATAATAAAATATCACACACAAACGACACACCTCGTTCACACTTCAGCTAAACAAATAATGGCAGTCAAACCGTTAAAATATTTTAAAAGGATAGAAAAATAAAACATATGCTTAACAATTTCAGAAAATCTTTAATTTTAATAATTGCTTTCTTTTTTCATCAACTATGCTGTACAGACTAAATCGCTTAAATTAGAATTAGCAATTAATAATTGCACGTAAAAAAACTTAACAAATACGTACTTTCAACTTTTCGATTGGAATGAACGATTATTACATTAAGTAATATTTTTTTTACAAGATATATAACTCTACAAAATGAAAAATCGTCTAAATTCAACAAGCAGTCACAATCGCCCAATGATATGTAAAATTATTTTTATGATTTTTAATTTTTATTATTGCGCTCTAATTATTATAAGTGTTTTATTATCTGTATTACATAATTATCATTTGAATTGGAGGGCGAGCTCTACGTTAATGGCGAGATCAGCGAGCTTGGGAATTCTTGCGAAAAGAGTACACGCTCGACAATTTGCAGTCTACGTCACCAAATTACTTCTCTCCGTTAGGCTGGCCTTGTGGTTTTGACTCTTGAAGTCCTTTAATCGGATAGGCGAAGACTCGCTGCCCGAGTCGCCCTAAAATAAAATATCTTTTATTGTTTATTATTGTCCAGAACGACGTTAGTATTTTTGTATTTTTTTCGAGTATTGTATTTGTATTTTATATAATTTTATATAATTGTAGGGCCTTTATTTAAAAGCCTCCTGTGTACAGAGACAAACAGACAGTGTTAGGGCGCCACAAGATCCCACTGCGGATTGGCGGACTTCATATATCCTCATAAATATTTTTTGTTATTATTTTAAAAAAATATGCAGGTTTCCTGATGTTTTCTTTCACCGCTAAATACGTGATAATTCAGCACTTAAAATTAACAATTACAGTCTGCATCGCGAACTTAGGTTGCTCGAATAGTATATTGAATAGATGCGAGCGCTCGGACACTAATCTATCGCGGCTCAGTTGATTGCAAAGATACCAACTTTACATACTTGGTTGCCATGCAATTCAAGGTATTACCATGGCAACCAATAATAACTTTTTAACATGTAAATATAATTCCAAGTTAAAAGCTTTATCAATATATTCAAATTTCTTAATTAAAAATACAATTCAAATTTATTTTAATCGATGTGTAGGTATACAATTTATTTATCCAACATTTAATGTCTATTAATGTTATCAATTGCATTTAATGTCTTTTTCACATACAAAGAGTAGGTACTGGCACACGGGATAGTTATTTTTATTTTGTTACTCTAAAGACGTATAACGTCTTACGTGCGTACATAAGTACACACAAACTTTTTTTTATTACGTACATTAGCTCCTAGGGAGATGGTGTCTTGTAGCAAGAGCTCGCTATCAGTACCACGCGACTCCTTGTTCTTGAGGATGGATCTAGATCTTGAGTCTCCTTCAAGCGGCCACCCCCCGCCCCCGCGCTTACTGCCGTTCTTACCTGTAGATAATATAATTATGTGCGTTTGTTGTTTATTCGAAACACTGGTTTATCCAAATATTATATGGTGGGAGCTTTACGAATCATTCAAACTTTTGAATTATAAACGCTGGCCAAAAAAATATTTATTGGAATCGAACTTCGAATGTTTTATGAAAATTAAAATGCGCACTAATTCCAATTTCATTTATTTTTATTGGACGCTTAAAATGGCCGAGTAGCGGTTATCGCGTGGCATAGGTGCGGCTATGCGCTCAGTCACACGTTCAGAAGAACGATAATAAACAAAATGATAAGGTGTACGCCCACAACAACGAAGAAGTTGAGCAGTCGCATTCCGCGTGTCAGCGAGGCCAGTTTCCATTGTCACTAATGGTTTGGCTGGGAGTATCCTATTCGGGCATAACAATCTATAAAGCAGTTCTGTATCAAAATTTCTGCGTAATAATAGTTTTAATGCATTGCGGTCTTGTATTTGTTTCATTTAATAATTTATGTTTGTTCGGTAAAATTCATATAAAATAAAATTTTATACATATAGGTATGTAAATCTTTTGACTTGGGCGCTATGGCTAGGTAAATCGTGAAAATTTGGAAATCTATCTACGTTCTTTATTGCACTTTATAATGTTTACATCCCGCAGCGCCGAAAGTTTTTGTTCATTTACCTGCAAACAACACATTTTAGTTTACCGCGAGTGCTCAGACTGTCACTAAAAACAAAAATAAAATTAACCATAAAAAAGTTCCATTCCAAGTGAAACGTTGACAATTTTAAGAACTTAACTAGCATAAATCTGCATGCTTAAGGAAAATGCTAAATGTTTTTAATTATATTATCAATTCTATCTAACATTGAGGTTTCTTCATGGAATCCCTTTAATACCTCACAAACTATCTTACATTATGATATGATATGGTTAGTATCATAAACGTCCGTTAGCGATTTGATTCAAATAGCCATAAAAGTGCTCTTCAATTAGCACTTTATAAGTATTAGTTTTTATCTTGTCTTTTTCTGTTTTTAAGCGAGCTAAATTTGTTAATAAATCTCTGGATAAAACTGTTAATAATCTGAAAAATTGTTAAGAGATTGACAAAAAACAAACCATAGGCAAATCTGAAACTTTTTGAGTATAGTCTATATCCTATATACAGTAGACTATAGTCGTTCCTTGCTTATTATATGGTTATGAATGAACTAAACATTTTCTATTACATTTACTAGACGTTATGTAACTAATGAGGTGTGCTAAAGGCAAGGCGTTTTGAAAACGATCATTTATGTTTTTGCTTTCAGTCCGTAGTCTATTAAAGGGTGATCGATCGCAGAGCTCGTGCCAGAACTTGATACCGCCCTCGGACTTGGGTAGAGCCGTAGTCTTGAAGCGATGTTGTTGTACGTGGCGTAATTTATATCGCACAGATAAAAATGATGATTATAAGTCTATTAACCAAACAGGATGTGATGATTGATGATCCTCGTGGCAATTCCCCTCGGTGGTCTCCTCTCCTCCTCCGACCACTCCTGTAACAGATATCATATTATTTCTCAATTGCTCAGTCTTGGCATTATCAGTTCTATTAGTCTTAATGTTATTAATTAGAAGGACGAATAACTGTCATGCATGCACTTGAAACACCAAAGATGTCATACTACATAGTGCAAACGTACAGGGATAGAAGGGTGGGTTCACGGGCAAGTCAAATATTAAAGAGATCAATCTAAATTCCCAATTCAGGCTCCCTAATATATGAAGTGTTGATCCTATCGACATCTACAATCCTCTGTCTAGATGTCAATTCCGATAGCCTCGTAGCATTTACCTGCTGGAAGCGCGCTTTTCTATGTTTGGGCTTGGAGTCGTCTGGTCCTGGCAGGCCGATGGGTGCCGCTTCCTCTAGAGGCTGTGGCAGACTGGTGCGCGAGGCGTCGAGGTTTCTGGGGGCCACGGGGGCCCCCACACCAGCCAAGCTGCCCCGAGAGCTTCGCGGCGACCCCTCGCCCTGCGAACCTTTCGCACACAACACGCTTCCATCCCCAGACGCGCTTTTGCGCACTCCATTAAACTCCACCGATCCCTCTCCCCCGTTCCCCCCCGTGCCGCCCCCGCCGCTACCATCCAATGGATTCACATATAAGTTTGAGGAGTCGTTCTCGCAGGCGATGTCGCCCTCTGAAGGAAAAGGGTGCGTAAGGCATGATGCAAATGTATCTGCAATGTAAGACATATACGCACATGGAGCCGCGCAGTACCGATGTAAAGGTGGTCTACGCCGCTCACACATAAAAAACAAACAAAGTGTGCTAAAAAATTACAGTGAAGAAATATGCAGTGTTAACATTTAATCTGGTCAAGATTTTGATAAGAGTTACTGAGGGTTAAACGGGTTGGAATTAAAGTAGGTGCCATTCGTTTATTACATGACTTTTAACTGATGTATTATAAAAATAAATAAAGAATACATTTATTCAACATTATAAATATTTACGGATGTTTGAATCAATTAAAGCGGGGTGCATTAATTTAAGTTTAAAGTAAGTGCCTGTCCACCAAAACATTGCGAAGCGTTGTATGTAATAAGTACGTGTTAATTTTATAGAAACCAGAAAAAAATGGAATAGTAGTGAGCCTACTACTAAGACCATGTGCTATCGTTTTACAGCTAAAACTGTACAGAATCGTTAAATCAGATGATTCTGGTGCAGTGCTGGTCAGAAGCGACGCGGTTAGGAGGCCCATTTCTGTTATGTCAAAAATTTTGTTTGCAGGCATTTTGCGCATATATTTACCCGAATGCCAAAAGGGTTATTCGAGCGTATGAATTGTATGTCTAATTCTTTGGCACGCTCTACAGCCTTTACATCTTGACGGTCTTATGGCTATCCTTTGTGACATTGATCATTCCTTATACAAAAAATAGAGTAATGGCTAGTATTTATTTGAGGAAAAATTCACTGATTTTGGATGGTACGTCAACGAAGGCCATTTAGATTTTTCGTGGTCTCAATTTTGGAGAAGAAACAACAATCTCAAAAGATCTCAGAAGATACAATTTACAGTTCGTAATCTTACTATTATACAATTTAGTTAGACTAGGTTTTTGTGGTAATGATTTTTAAGTAATGCACAGTTGTTTTGCTGCACTAAATTTGTTTAAAATAATTTTTATAAAACTGGAGAGTTTTTTGCTTCATTATCTCCAAAAGTTTTCAAACAGATTGCTTACGGATCCGCAAAATTCAATTCAACTATTATTATTAAAAAAAATATTGTAAATTTTTTTGACATATTTGAAAATTCGTTCAGGACTGACGTGATGTGGAAATTTTCTGAAATTTGTTTTTTTTTTTTTTTTTTCAAAATAAGCAAATCTGTCGAATTGGTACGACTTTAGCCGTAAAACGATGAGGCGAAAATGCCATCATTCGGCGCTTTGCATTATGTGCCTACAAATGGATATGCTACTGGTGTACGAGCGAATTTTGTTGATTCCCACTTGAAAGCAATAGTGTGTATATGTTTTAAAAAAGTGTAAAGGTTTTGAACGCGTTTCAGCAGTTCGCAATTCGTGATTTGACAGACAGGCAATTTTAAGATAATTACTTACCCGGGCTGTCAAGACTATTGGGAGTGGCTTCGGGCAGCGCCCGTGGCGCGGGGTGTCTCTGCAGGCACGCCAGCTCCACGCACACTGGCTGTCTTAGGTCGGAAGTGGACATGGGCATCAGTTGCTCTGCGTCTATGAATTCCTTGTAGCCCTGTGAAGAAAACGAGCCAAGGTGTTTTCTGAATTGTTATCCATGTAATATTTCCTATTCCGATAATTTAGTTCTTTGGGTTTTTCCGTTGTACAATATTGAAATTTCTCCTTAGCCCTATGTTGAAAGTGGCAAAATACCGCCAGATTTCCTTAGGCTTTTGGCTCCTGTCAGGGACGCAGCTGAACAAGAGGCTCATCTGAAGGTAAATGAGGACCACCACCCACGAAGCTCTTAATTTTACAGATGACCCACCACTGAGTCCCAGCATCTAGTACAGCTGACATACGAGTAATCGAGCAGCAGGAGCTATTATATAAGCTTGTAACTACACAAAAAAAGGTAAATGGTGTCTATAAAATTATATGACGTGAGCTACGTAATGATAAATATAAAACAATATTTTTTTCTGACACGATGTCAATTTTTTTTTATGTGACAAGTTGCCAAACGAACAGACGGTTCACCTGATGTTTAGTGAATACCGCCGCCCATAGACATCTGCTACACCCGAGGGTTTGCAGAAGCGTTGACAACCTTTTTGGAAATTGGGCTCCGGCTACCTCACTCACCAAACGAAACGCGAAAGTATTTGTCATACATCCACTTTACGCCGGTCTTCTGTGAGGTCGTGGTACTTACCCGGACGAGCCTGCCCATTCGTGCAACAGCCGAGGCTGTTGCGTGGCTCTACCACTGTTAAACCAATTGACACAAACAATATGTATCACACGGCAATACAATCTATTTAATGCTTTTGATACCGGATGGACCTTTCAGAAGGAAAACATTTATGTTCACAAATATGTCGTAGGATGCATTGAAGACGACGTTTTTTACTTCCTTTTTTTGTAATGGTGTATATAACACATTTTATTATTTCGCTAAATTCAAGTTGTTACCTTATTATTAATATTCTAGAGCAACTGAGTAGTAATTTTAGATAGCAGCAGTCATGCCACAACATCAATGGTTTAATATGAGCATATTAATTTGGAATCGTCGTAAATATACTTCACAATCTATCCATTCCCAATCCTTTCTAGTCTTATCTCGCCTCTAATAGCGGTCTCCTTTTAAATGACTATCTACTTTTTATTGTTTACGTAAATTATATTATTTATTACGCAACATGGAAGCTACGAAATCAAATAATGATAAGAATACGTTATACTATCATTATACTATATACTATAAAAGTTTGTTGTCGAATTTAGTAAACGCCATAGACGATTTGTTATTAGAAGTCACTGCCAAAATATTATAATTTTAGAGGCCTCTAAAGCCACTAGAAAACGTAAGTCTAAGTTATGTACATATAAAAAGAGTGCCAATGCAATTTATTTATAACATATAAGCAAACCATGTTAGTTTAGTGTTTTAGTACCTTGAACGTGCAAAAACAACATTCAAACTCAGAAGGCAGCTGATCCAAGTCTAGTTGTTTGTCAGCCATCTTCTTTTCCTAAAAAAAGAGAAAACATTAACCAACGCTCTGAACTCCACCGCCTGAAAATGTTAGTGGACAACGAGACAAATCATTGACGATCTTTCTATCGACACAACAAACGATGCGAACAGGATATCCGAACGGATCATTTCTGAACTCACACGAGACGTTTTGATAAATAATCGGCAATGATTTTACAATATCAACCTTTACACTACGACGTGAGAGTGCTTACATCAAAGCATTAGCTAAGACTTTGTAGAATCGATGGAAAAGTGGTCTTACTGGCGTAGGTTCTGGATTAATGAGCAGGCGTTTCTCCGGCGTGCCCAGGCCCTCGGCGGAGTATCTGCGGTCCTTTTTTGGGCTGCTCTGAAACTGTGTCCTTTTGTGTCAGTTCCGGACACCGTGATCGAGTTTTAATGGGTGCGTCCAATATTAACACTAAATAAGTGCAATACTGGTAGAGAATGTATTAAAGCAAGGCGCTGAGTGGGTTTTATCTTTAAATTCGTATAAAATATATAGCAGATTTTTTTTTCAGTAACTTTAATTTGGACTGTAACACCTGGAATGTTAGGTTTTTGGCACCAAAATTAAGTACAAGTTAATATAACTGTAGGAATTCATTCAAAATTATTTATCTTTAATTTTGTATAAACTACAGAACGGGTGTAATTTTTTTTTTGAGTAAATATAATTTGGACACGTAATACACTATGGAATGTTTAGGTAGAATAATTTGAGAACACTCAAATAATTACAAGATAATATAACTTCAGGAATTCAATATTTAAACCGAATAATAATATAAGTACCGAATAAAATTTTGTAGATTTGGTCGCAACGAAATGCTTTTATAACTTCTAGTTAAATTTAGAAAAAATTAACAAGTATCACTTACCGATGCGGTGCAGTAAGGGAAATAACAAATTTTTAGAACTGCGTATAGGAAAAATAATTTATTGCGAATTTTATAAAATGTCTTTAAAAACCAATCATCCAATACTTTAGAGTAACTAAGGACTTATGTGCTATGTCGAAAGTTTTAAGATGGTTACTGAGTAATCAGTTTTAAAATTGTACGTACCATTTCCATTGTCTATTTAAACAAAATAATACAATAATCACTATATCCAAATAATAACAGGACATCTGAACTGTAAAAAACCATTGCTGTTATCCGTCTTGTGATGGAAATAACTGTCGTTTCCGTTCCGGATTGGACGCACCCGGTCTGGTGGCATGCCTCACCTGGTTGGCGTCAGTACCCTGCGGCGTCTTATTTGAGATGGCGTGCTCGTACTGTCTGTAACAGCCAGTGGTGGCTGGAGCCTCGCCTTCCAGGCTAGTGGCGTCCGCCTGCGACAAGTTGTGTCCTGGAGACACACACCATCGTAAGTAGCCACGTCTCCCGCCCGAAACACGGTGCGATCTCCATAAATATTCATAACGGCAACGATCAGAATTGCGTCAGACGGATTTATTAACAATTAGAATAAATGATAGTAAATAGCAGCGTCAACTACACAACACACATACAACACGAACAGTCTAAGAAGTCCAGCGTCCTCCGGCACACACAACGGGCAGTACACAGAAGAGAATGTTAGTTCTATTAAGCGTTAGGCTTACGCTGACAATGTGATCGACCTTATACAAGTGTCTTCGTCGCACATCGCAAGCTACACGCGACGCGAACCCGACCCCGAGCTACGGAAATAATATTAAGGGGGCCGAGTATGACGACTGTGCGATAGTAGCAAGTAGCTCATCTGGCGTCGTCTCTCGCCTCAATGAGGACGCACTTGTCACCTGAAGACAAGGAATAAAACACTCTGAGTGTACCTCTTTGGAACGAACGAGTGAACATAGCTGTAGCTGCGATGTAACGTGAACTCTCTGAATTAGAATATGCCTGCGGGTCCGGAGAGCTTAACTATGCGACGTGCACACAGTCGGCATTCATGCCATTCCGTTACTTACACGCTGGAGCATTACACGAAAATAAGGGCATGCGTGCAAATTGAAACGTATAGTTGCAAAACGTACACGAGCGGAGGACACATGACATGAACAAGCAAGGGCGGATGCACACTGGGGCCTACTGACCTGTGTCCACGATGACGTCGATGAGGTCCATGCTCTTGGCGAAAGCGTCGCGCAAGTTTATGTGGTGGAAGGACACAATGGAGCCCTCGCGCTTCGCGCGCTCGAGCGCCTCCCTCCGCTTGAGCGCCTTCTCGCGCCGCATCTGGTTCTTGTAAAACTCGGCGAAATTGTTGACGATAATGGGGATGGGTAACGCAATTACCAACACGCCGCAAATACAGCAAACTGAGCCGATGACCTTGCCCAACGGGGTCGTGGGGTAAATGTCACCGTATCCGACTGTGGTCATGGTGATGCCGGCCCACCAGAACGTTTCCGGAATGGAAATGAATTTAGTCCCCGGCTCTTCCTTCTCGGCGAAATATGCGAGCGAGGAGAATATTAGCACACCCATCGCGAGGAACAGCATGAGCAACCCGAGCTCCTTATAAGAGTTTCTGAGTGTGAAGCCGAGCGACTGCAGCCCGGTCGAGTGTCGGGCTAGTTTTAGAATGCGCAATATTCGCATGATACGGAAGATTTGTACAACACGACGCACATCTTGAAACTGATCCGTCGCGTTTTTGTTCGTTTCGAGGAGGAAAAGCGACACGAAATATGGCAAGATCGCCAGCAAATCTATCACGTTTAGTCCGCCCTTGAAGAACTTCCATTTGTCCGGCGAGGCACTGAATCGGAGCACGTATTCGAGTGTGAACCACGTGATGCACACGGCCTCGACCATGGCCAGCTGCGGATTGTCCATGGGCGCGCCCTTCTCGTCGTAAACTTGCATCTGGGGTATCGTGTTGAGAGTTAGCCCTATGGTGGACAGCACGATGAAGAGGATCGATATCACCGCGATCACCTGCAAGCATGCACCGAGTGAGCGTCAGGTGGCGCTCCCCGCCACCGAGCTGCCACCCCGCACGTACATCCTGACAAGCGACGCACACCTCCAACATACAGTGGTTACCGTGTATAGTAGTGGTGTCAGTGTCTATACAGAATCCCTACACGTTTTTACAATACATAGGTATGGCAAGTTATATAAGGTAGTTGCGTATAACATAGATAATGTAGATAATGTATTTACAAGTAAAAGTATAAATATGTAAGTAAATAGCCAATGTCTTAATGTAATAATGCTTAAGATTAATCCCAGTTTCGGGTGTAAAAATAACATCTATTCGTGTTTGTCAGTAGTGTTGTGTGGTCGAGGTGTAGATAAGTGGTTTAATTACAGCCGAGTTGGATGGACGGAAGCGCGCTTCGACGTTATGTACATATACGTTGAATTGCGTACGGTGAGGGCGCGTGTTCGTCCATCACTCGCGTCGCTCGGTTAGTCGGATGAGTACGAGGAAGCGAAGCGCGAGGGAGTTGAAAGGGCTCGAGAGGGGTGGGGGATGGGTCGGTGGGGAGGGTAGGAACGCCGGCGAGCGGCGCTCAGCCGTGGTGGGGAACGGCGCGGGCGCGGCGCGCGCGAAATGGACTCGTGTCTACTGCGCGCGGTGACCGTCCCGTGCAGTTCCGCACGCCGACCAAAAGCGCCGCCGGCGGCGGCTGGTCACATCGCGTAAGCCCATCCCGTCTTTACAACTTTGCGACAACAATTAAGCTTTGTTCCGTGTAAAACACGCCCCCAACAAGGCATCGACGCGGCTGTGAACACCAAAAGTTATTTAAGGCCCGACCGCAGTTATGTAGGCGCGATGCCCGCGCTCGCACACAACTCGCTCGTGAACAACGAAATGTTTAACAAATAAAAGAAAGATCTTGATTTTGTATAAGCTTTGATACAGAAACAAACAAGCGAAATAAAATGGTAATACTAACTAATCCTTAATATTAATTAACCTTCAATTTTATTTGTCATTCTGTGTCAAAACCGCACAATTGTTTATCACGATATTAAAGATATATTTGATATTATACGGAAATATAGTCGCATTCAAGTTAGATACATGATTTTATATGCTCGTATGAAGTTACCTATATCTAAATACCGTGATACATAAAAACATTATGCAATTAAATTATAGACAAATTATTTTTTTTGTACGACTAAAACAGATTTGAAGACAATGATATTAAGCGAAAATAATATTGCTATACAAATATTAAAATTTAAAGTAACATTTTATAAAATTAAGAAAAAAATATTTAAATGACGAAAGTGGAAAATAATATTGACATAAGGCAAGTGAAAGTAAATTATTACTGTTAATATTCTATTGATACTTACTTATATACTCTGTTGCTGTTTTCGAAACATCTGATATCTGATCAAGATATCAATAATCGAAATACGAAGCGAGTGATCCGACCGCCCGCTACCAGTTGTAAGTAGAGCGGGTATTTCGACAAAAGCGATCACACCGCCACAACAACATCGAGCACAACACAACATTTATGAAGAAAACGAGCGACACGATTCCGACAACATCGAAAGAACAGATAGTAGAGAGATAGATGTTATTCATGCACCACAAACACAACACATATACGCATTAGGATGCAGCCGGAAGATTTCATCTTCTTTTTTTTCCTTTCGATACATTTCCTTTGCTTTCAGATAAATCTGAGTAATTAGTATAACTATTTCAAATCAACAACAGAATGAAGAGGAAATTGAAAATATTACATGAAGTTAAAAGTGAAATAAATATTGTAACTCTTTCAGATACATCCTGTACAAGTAGTGCAACAAAGACAGTTGCTATTATTATCAATGCTGTTTCAAGAGAGTTATTAATTGTTCACTGTGTTGAAGGTGCTGTATATTGTGGTTCAGTGGTAAGAAAAGCGTAACTTTTAGTGTTATGACTAAAAATACAAGTGACGGTATAAAGTGCAAAATATTTTTACCAATTCATATGCAAAACGTAGTAGAAGAACGTGTTACATTATCGGTGAATTACAGAAGACTGTTATTATAATAATAAATAGATTTACTTATTTTGTGACAGTGTACAGTGTACCTACAAATTTATAAGTAAGTATTTGAAAGTATTCACGTCAAACAGTCCATAACTTTATCATCTAATTAAAACAGGAACACTTGTGCAAAATTTTCGAAATCTATTTTTACTAACAATTAACAAAAGCATCTAACTAATACTGTTCTACTTATTTTCTAAATATTTTCATAATTAAAACCTGTACCTTCACATTATCAAAAGGCATTAAATAACATAATCCTTGGCGGCTTTGCTAATAGGACAATATTAGTAATCAATATAATATCGGAACAAGATTTCAATGTTATTCAATACATTACCCTGGCGGCGATACTCGTGGTGGGTTTCTCTAGCAAATCCCACAGCCACTTCTGGTACTGGGCGCAAGTGCCCTGCCCGAATTCCTCCTCCTCGCGCTGTCTTAGGCTTTCCGCTTCTTTGCGCATTTCTTCATGCACGTGTTCCTTCCGCTGATGATATTTGTGCTGACAGCATGACTCCAAATAGAGCTCATCGACGCCCCAATACTCGAGATCGTCACTGAACGCCAACACGCACATTTCATCAACTAAATGCAACTTTCCAGTCCGATAGAAGTTTAGAATTGAGCTGAAACTCTTCGGATGTCTGTAAAGTAACACGAAGAAGGCATGTTGAATGCATATAACAGAAATGATTTTATTACGTGCTTGTGGATTTTCAAGTAGCTAAGTAAAGTTGAATGCACTTATTTATGGGTCATGAAGTTGTCGCAAGTGATGCGAGAGTTAAAATATCTTTGTATATGCTGAGGAGTAATGTAACAGCTACTGGGATCATTATATTTAAAACTTAAGGATTGTAATTAAGCAGCAGGAAATGTTCTTTAGCGTTAGTACTATTAAGGCCTAAACGGTATTCTGAGGATAAAGCTGCTTAGGATTTCACAATTCAGAAACATTTAAGGATCCACAATTGATTAGAATTTTATGAAACGGATTAACAGAGCGCACCTATCAAAAAAATACTCGTTATCCTGTAACGAGTAGTCGTTGCAAAGCTCGATTATCGCCTCGTGCGTGTTGCAGTCGCGGAGACGGCCGAGCCTCGTGTGTGGCAGCCGCTCCAGGGTGCTCCACATCACCTCATGCCTCACGCCCCCCACGTTGATTATCACCCGTTTGCTCAGCGCCTTCGCGCGGAGCATCATGAACGGCTCCGGCGGCAGTGACGACATCGATCTGGTAACGACGGGCAACCATTTATTGAGATGAGCCAACCAGAACTCTCAGTGTACGAACAGTGCTTTAGTGATGCATAAATGGAACTGCCTCAGCCTCATAGAGTACCGTCGTGAAGTGGTACTCCACTTGAATGGAATTGTTAAACTTTCGAGTTTCGTCTGGTGAGTGAGGTAACCGGGGCCCACTTATTTAAAGGTTTTCAACGCTTCTGGAAGCCATAGGCTGTTGTAGATGTCCACAGGCGACAGTATTTACTTACCATCAGATCATTCACTTACCATGTATCGCCTGCTCGCTTGACAACTTTACACATAAAACATAACCTATAATTCTAATATTACATACTGGGCACTCACGGCAAGAAATAGCAACTTCAGTTTCTATCAAAGAGATGTCCTAGCATGGATGTTTGCCATTTTATAGTACATTTGCAAAGAGCACTTCTTGGTTATCATTAATAATATTGCGCAGTGCATGTAAATGAGTAATAAAATAGGTGATAAACTATAGAATTTTGCTTTGAATCGAGAATAATAATACGCATGTACATTTTTCATGCATGGTTTTTTTCTTACGAATATGAAATTTTTTTGTTCGTCTTAACTGAATCACAAATTAGCAGGACAAGGAACAATTCAAACTCAATTGTTTATTAAAAGTGGAAATCGTCAAAAATATTTGGTCTCCGCATACAACTCGCATCAAAAGCAGATTTTAGACTGAGGCAAGAATAAATTTTTCTCAAATTACGAGGTAAATGTAAATTTGAAATATGACTGGCGTTTCAGCTATGAAACTTAATAAACTCAGTAGCTTCAGTATCGTATCGTCTTGGTTTAATGGGTTTTATACCTTAAGGAGTAAGCATTATGCTCTGCCCAAGTTTATTATATTAGATAATTTCAAATAAAGCGTATAGTCTCAATAACCCACAAATTTGTAATAAAAATATCAGGGGCCCCATTTTCTAAATTAAGTCTGGTCCAGTAGAACCAAAAAAACATTACTATAAAGTAACTAAGACATTAACAAATATATTATTTTGATGTTTTCTTAATTTACAAGTTTCTATGGCACGAGAATTGCAATATACTACGAGAAATTAAGAAGCGTATACAAACACCTCAGAATACCTACAGAAATACCTTGTTTTTCTTTTTTTTTTCTGTAATCTGGGATAAACACAAAATGCGCATTTATGCCGAATAGTCGTATCTAGTCACCAATTATTTAATAACACTTCATAACATATATGTATGATAAAATTATATGTAAACTAATTTATTTTATCCAATTGTCTGTAAAGTAGACGCTAAGTACATATATGCATATAGCTCATCATACATACATTAAATGTACAGAAATCTGCTCGATGTTTAATTAACTCACTTTAATTAAAGTCTGGGAATGTGGTCATGGGTAAATCTATTATAGAAACCGCACGTTGTTGTATAACGTAACATTAGTTATACTCGTACGGTACCGATCTCTTACCACAAATGTCAGTTGGCGTTGATATTAGTATATCCCTGTCACTCGTGGTTTTGATGCTCCGAAACATCCACTATCATCTAGTATTTGTAATATTTTTATGATTTTATATTAAGAAACAGCACATAATTCATGATAAATTAACCAGATAACAGAGCTAGACGACATGCTTCGCATGTTATATTTCTTCTTATTATAATCCTGTAATATAACCACTGTTGAGATACAACCAGGTAGATAACATGGTAGAGCATAAGGAGCAGAACTCATTTGAAATGTACGGGAGGAAAGCCCGAAAGCGTCAACCGGTAAAACCCGCGCGCGTTTTCTTTCCAATGCGCGTCGACACCGCGGCCGCCCACCCTCCTCATGAAAGTTAGCACTTAAAAGTATCAATGCAATTGTTAATTTTAAGTGCTAACTTATAACGTGCTCAGCGGTGAAGAAAAAATCGCGAGGAAACCTGGATATTTTAGAAATGAAAAAAGAAATTGCGAAGAATTGTGAAGTGTATCCGGCCGGTGTCGTACTCAGCGGAATGTTTTTTTTTCGTGGGAAAAATCGTTTATGGATCCCCTGCCATTTGATCGGGGGAGTGGAAGAGGTATGTGGAAGTCCCAGTAAGAACGGGTACTCACTAAAAAACCCACGTTGCACCTGTCTCTGTCGCATCGACCGGGGCGACGGGAACACGTGGAGGCAATCTGCCGCGACCCCGGCGCGACTATGGTCTTTTAGGCCTCCTCCACTACGTAGTGCTGTGCCGGTGCAATTGGCACGCACGCGTCACGGCAGTGTACCTGGAGTGCGCGCGCTGCAGCGCGGCGTTGGAGAGCGCGGGCGCGGGCGCCGGCGCCAGGCCGCGGTCGAGCGGCGCATCGTGCGCTGGCGCCGCGAAGCCCATGGGCGCGCGCGGGGGCGAGTCGCCCACGTTGCAGCGCGCGCCGCGGCCCGCCCCCTCGCCCACCATGCCGCTAGCTCATGGCGCCGCGCGCCGCCTCCGCCTCCGCCTCCGCCGCCGCTTCTACTAATGCGTCCGCTCCTGAAAATGTATTATCCGATTTTTAGGAATTAGTAACGTTTCCTCCAGCCCACCATTGTATTACCCAATATTGTTGCGACAGTATCGTATTTCAAGTTATTGGATTTGTTCAAATTTATTTATTTCAGTATGTTAAGTTTTAATACGTTATATGGAAAGCGTAAAACTTTATAGATTTAATGAATGGCTTAAGAATAAAATTGTGTAATCCACTTTATTTTCAAAAGTGATTAAACTATGACCACAATGAAAGTTTCAAACTACTAGCGATAATAAAGAGACATGGCGCCAGATTTGTTTTAAGATTATTTTTGCCTACTGTACTAATACCTACCTACTGTATAAATGAGTCCAATTAGTACATTTATTATAGTACACACCGACGTACAGAAGAGATGTTTGTACTTTAGCATTCCGTCTAGAGAGTGAGGTAATTTATCATTCTTATTATATACGTGATTGAAGATCATATGATGGACAATTACAGCACAAGTTGAGGGTGATTCAGTTTTACACGATAGTCTACCGGATAATTGTTTTAGGGTCAGTTGCCTCGCTTTGAAATATGATATGAAACGTAATATGACGTAAAATAGATGTTAATAAAATGTTCTGTTAGGAAAAACTAATTTAACACAAAAAATAACCTAAAGTGGGTTGAAGGAATGTTACAAATTGAGATATAGGTTTACTCATTAATAAAGTCGTTTTATGTACGTAAATCAAATATCTTAGAATCTTAGAATAAGAAGTTAACAGGTTCTATTTATACCATGATTATAAGAAGGTCCTTGGGTTGTCGGCAATCAATTATGAGATCGCTTGTCTTGCATTGAGCCTTCTTTCAAATTCCAAACCTTATAAGTAACTAAGCTTTTGACTGCTGAACTTTACTTAATTGTAATAAATAACGAAATTAAAGCATTTAAACATTAATATATCAAGTAAAAATTATTATCTCACTTGAAACTATGTTAGACGCATAGTAATAAGTAAATACACATTATTTACAATTTGAATATATGGTTTTGTGTTTTCAAACTCTCTCGCGTTAGTTAGTTCTTAGTTCTAAGTCGTTAAATAAAAATGTTAAATATAAGGAACAATGATTTATTCGCTTGAATAATGAATAATCTCTTTTTTATTCTCGTAAGCTCTCGAATGGCTCCAGCAATTGAGAACAGAAATCAATTATTACGCTCTGCCTCTAAGCCTTAGCTTATTACTACTTACGAACTGGGTTTTTCTTTATCTGGAGAAGCCTTACTACTTGATAATAAAGAAACTATATTTGCAATTGAATACGTTTTTTGACAAATTAATGTCTTAAGAATTTGTGGTATTTTTTAAGTTGTCTATTTTCGTTTTCGCTTCATTTGCATTACTAGTCCTCACTTCTGGCCTTGATCACTTATTATTTAATTTTCTTATTTATTGGTTTTAAAGGTATAACCACGGTCATTAAACAATATATTTCAAAAAGCGACATACTTCAAATGTACGGTACATTGACCTTACGCATAGGCGTGAATAAATTATCTTATCTAATTAATCTTAATTAAATTATCTTCAATGTTTGAATAGAGACTTATATTAAACCATTTCTAAGTGGTTGAAATAGAAATTACATTCACTTTGTAATAACTTGAAGCTTTATGAAAGTTTGCCTTTGTGCGTAATAACTTTTACCGTTTAGAGTGCTATAGAATTTCTCGGAGCCGTTTGATGGATAATCCATTACCCTTTACAGAAAAGGTCACCTGCCTTTGAAACACATATTTTCTGTTATAACAATATGTAATGCAATAATATGTCAACTTTATTAAGTGTTAATTTTACCTAGGCCGCTAAAACGTTCGGCCCTTTCTCGATGAAGCGGTACATAGCGGCAAGGACTGAAATAAGAATACCATCTTATACATGTAAGTTAATCTCGCTGAAATTTTCAGTTATTTGTTATTTTCTGTACACATTTCTTAGTGAGAGAATTAAGTAAACCTTAGGGTTGCTTTGCTGCCTTCTAAGATTTTACCGTTCCCTCACTCACTAAGCGAAACAAAGAATCACAAATACTTTACTCTGGTTTTCTGTGACGCTATTAGAGGTATACAGGCCGGAGCAACCTGCCCATTCATTCAACAACATTCAGCTACTGTGCTGACTATACCATAGTAAAATATTCAATGAAATTAGACTTACTCTTTTTTTTTTTTTTTTTTTTTTTCTTGTATTTACGCGATTACACATTATAAATGAAACTAATTTTACAGATTTATCGCGTTTATTTTTAATTTTAATTCCCGACGTTTCGAACCCTTTACAGCGTTCATGGTCACGGGACTGTCCCGTGACCATGAACATGATTAAAAATAAACGCGATAAATCCGTAAAATTAGTTTCATTTAGACTTACTCTTTTGTTTACTGCTAACTTGTTAAAGTGCTAGCAAAAGAATTTTACACAGCAGCAAATGTCAAACCTAGACCCTATATAAATAAAAATCCCGCAAATAAATACTTTATTTCCGTAAATTAAAAGCTACTTCATATACTAAGCTCACATATTTTTTTGACTCGGAGTTGTGAACTTTAAAAGTAATATCAAAAATAATGAAATACTTATCCCGATGCAAGTGATAGAATCGTATATCTCATTAATAACTTATGTTATTTGAATAATAAAAAAATAATTAAGTTAATATTAAAAAAAAAATTGATGTAAATAAATTATACACGTGAAGTCATAACAAATGTTTATGGAAAATTTAATATAAAAAGGGTTACAAAAATTTATATTAACATTTTCTAATGGTTGTTTTAATCTAGTCCATGTCCTCTGCAAAAGACACTATATAGAGCCATCGTAACAAACAACGGCTCGTTGAATTCGTCTATTGGCTATAATGTTACGATTTAAAAGTACATCGACAATGTTGCTATATGTTTTAACATAATCTGCTGTTATTCTAGCAATGGTATTTCAAAATAACTGTCCAATACTCATACTAATTTTATTATTCAATATTTTATGAAATCATAAGACACATATAGGTGTTTATATGTAATGATTGGAAAAAATATTTCCAGTCAATATAGCGACTGCAACTATTAAACATGTCAAAAAAGGCTTAGCTTATAACAAATCAGCATAACGACTGTTATTTACATAACCTTACGGATAAACTGTCAACGTGTTCAAAGTATAAACTCGGGGGGAAAATCCGGAGCCAAAAATTTAAGTAAATTTTCTACAATTACCCTGTTTATTGCTCATAAACACAAGTTTTATTACTGATGTATTAGCATAGAAAACGATGACTAACTAAAATTGCTTTGCATGGGAAGGTTGTCATTTAATACAGAAGTATTCATGTATACATCACATTACGTCTTTATACTCGAAATAGACGCTGTTTACCCTTGGCGCCACTCTGTCTGCTTTTAGCTAACATACAATCGTCGAAGCGAGGTTCCTACACTTGGCACCCCTATTTTGTATTAGTATATACGAGGCCTCTAATTTGAGAGCGTCTTCTGTTCTATTAAATAGAGTATATTAGCTTAAAACATATAGAAATATTTTATTCTATTTGTAAATTTATACCCTTTTTGATGAAATTACTAGTTTTTTTTTGATAAATTATTTGTTAATACGATTCAAACAATCACTTTAAGTTTTATTATTATTTCTACATTATTTATTTGCGTAGAACACGAGATTGAGCTTGACTCTATTTGTCATTAATTTTTATAAAAGAAGTTTTTGGCCCATAAAAAATATTATGCGAGACATACAGAACATAATAATATCATATTACGTCAATAAACATTAAACATAATAAAGCAAGATATTAATTACAATCATTCTTTGACGTATTTGAAATAATATTGAAATTTGGCAACGTATAAGTTGTAATTAAACAAAAACTTTCTCTTTATAAATGTTATAACGTTGGAACGTTAAAACCTTGCCGAGTAATTAACGTTGGCAAATATTTACACCATAGAGGTAAAGGTTTTTTTCGTTTAAATATGTAACAGGTAATAGTAAACGCGCTAACCTAGAAAATGCCATTTTACTTTCATTCCGAATGAGCAGAAATTATGTGGGTTAAAACGAAAAAGCTTAACGTTATTACCGCACAAATTTGTTAAAGTAACGGTCGTTCAACGAACTTTTTTTTATAAAAAAATACAAAGAAAATTATTATTGATAAAAAATGTGGCCAACTATCATTATAAACATATATATATATCATTATTTAAAACAATACCTTTTACCCGACTGCTGAAGGAATGTAATGTTTTTCGAGCCTCATGTTCAAAAAATTTAAGTATAAAAAATATATGCATTGTATATATATACATATATTCTTTCGCACGCTAAACAGCATAAACCTTTTGACTTTTTGATTGCAATATTTTAATTTTTACACTATTTAGAGTGATAATATACCTAATACATTGACATGAAATAACTTTATACTTTTAAATTTATACATGTTTGTAATCTTTTTATTTAGTTATTAAGTTCCAAAAGCTGTTTGGCTGCACTGGCACCGTTTTATATTAAGTTATTAAACGTTGCTTTCGTAGCTTAAAACGACCAGTCAAGCTGTTTGGCTGTGAATCGAGACTTCAATTTCGTACCTAGAATTGTATAAATGTCGAAGAATAAAGCAGTGGTCACTGCTATGCTTTTTAAAATTGTTTTAAGTGTTTTCTTTTCATCATTAATTGAAGAAGTTTTAGTAGCGTAATACGATAGAATTATTCTTTTGTATTTCGTCTGGTGAGTGAGGTGAATGACTTCAAAGTTTGGCGATGTATCTGTAACCACACGAATGTAGTGGCTGATAGTGGAAGTGAAATTCAACTAACATCACGAAGGCTGCTTGCTCCATTGCCAACAACTCACATAAAAAAGTC